GCGTGAATAATTGCGCGGTTTTACAATTGATTCACATATCATTAATCATACACAAGTACAACGTCATCGACACGACTATATTGTCAATTTAATGGCCCGCAGAATTTCGCAAATAAATTATAATATTACCGTCTTCGCGCGCGTTATCGTCAATTGAATATTCCGGAAAATCGTAAAATAATCCGGACAAATAATAAAAAAAAAAATACCCTTATACTGCTGACGGGTGTGCCTCTGTTTTAGAAGGAAAGTTTTCAAAGAGAGCACGTAATATAGAGTAATTTAATTTATATCTGTACGCAAACCATTACTTATGAAAAACAATTACATCGATTAATCATCACTAATGAAAAACGATTCTGAGCGGAATTTGGTTACACATATTTTTAAAGGCAGTAATATTTACGATTTGAAGACAATACATTTCGTACATTTTCCCGTTTTTTAACGGGTTTTCCCATTTATTACGAAAACCTCTTAGAAAATCAAAAAATGATCTCTAAAGTACCACCCAGGTCAGATTTATTATTAGAAAAAAAAAACTATCATTGTAAAACCAATACATTATATATAAACTACTTCATTTACTCTAAACTTGTTTTGATTACTTTAGTTATAACTTATTATGAACATCGTAATAAATTGTCGAGCATATTCGCCGGGTTAAAGCGAAATCTACGCGAAATTAAATAAAAACTTTAAAATTTCGAATGTCCCAAAAATACTAAAATAAAAAAACGCCGGATTAGTTTTAATATAATATTGTCACATCTAGAATGTACTGATTTGAGTGTTCTGTGAAAATGGTAGGTCTCCGCGATTATTGCTAACTGAATTACAAAAATACATAAAAATCAAAAAACAAAAAAAAAGTATCATTGTTCTGTATTTTTTCCCGGTTTTCTCCGTTGTTTAAGAAACTAGAGGAAAATTAAAAAAATAACCTTCTCAATGTAACAGTTAGGTTCAAAATTCTAAAAGATAGATCCTTTAATGTTTCGAATATTGAAGCAACAGTTTTATTCAAAAACCGGTGAGCAGTTATAAGCGAACACACTTCATGCCTAGAAAAAATAAGCTGAATTGTTCGCGTTGCAACCGATACGTGGTTAGACGCGAAAATGTATAGATATTTTTTTTTTGATGTTTATGTATAATTATGATTATTATAATTTTTAATATTGTCAACGTTAAGTGATAAGGTGGGCCGGCGTCCGAAGTTCGCGGTGAACGGACGTTATTTATCCGTTACGTAACTTGTCTCCGCAGGGCTGGCCATATAGGTACAAAAGGGGAGCTCTCCCGCATCAGTATGTGAACACAACGGCAACTAAACACGCAAGCCAAGTGAACAAATACGGTTGCCTAATCATAAGGGGTTAAGCTTAGGTAATCGAATCCCTGATGAAAATTCGGCAGTAACACGTGCATCGGTTGAGTTGCCTATCTCCTAGGCGCTCAAATAAATATTCGGAGTTGATAATAAAAACATTTAAACTACGCGGTCCTTTGAGTCGATATCGTTCAAGGAAACAATAATATTGATCGGTAGCTACGCTCAGAATTTGAATAAAAAACAATACAAACGCCCGTAAAATAACACGAAAGTACTACTATAAGTCATAAAAAAGATTCTCACGTTTTAACATTTAAATCATCTATATATATATATATACCGATATAATCTGGATAGATATGCACAACTTTACTTCCTGATGTCGCCCCCCCCCCCCCTCCACCCGCCCAAACGTAAATATTCTCTCTAGATATCTCACGATATTAATATTCATTAATTTTTCAGATAGATTATATCGGTAGGTACTATATAATATAATAATATGATTTACTGGAATTAAAATCGAGAAACTCCGTACCGGGTATAATATAATAATAATATTGTTATGACGATACGCTGATACGATTGTGTTGTCTCCGTCGCCCGTCGCTGCCATAGTGAAAAAACGCGGACACGAGTTTTTCGAGTAAAAAATAAAAGTATTTTCGATTGGAATATCGTCGAGAGAGCGGTGTAAATGTCAGACGAAATTTTTAGTATTATAATATTTGTTCGTCGTGTACACACTGCAGCACACATCACACGTACGGTTTGGATATGCAAATTACGCTGTCATGTACAGGGCCCTAGCTCCTCCGTACGAGTACATATTTTATTATTAGTTTCTTTATACACATATAAATATATATGTTTTTTTTTTTTTTATAATAAACTAATAATCATGTACCGTCATGTGCCGCGAGTAAAGTTATACCGCAGAGACGGACGAAGGTTTTGAGACATATCTCGGAGAATGATTTTTCTTTCTTTTTCATCTTATCCGTATAGAATTACGTTCTCCCCTCGAGTATACAATAATATTACGTACTTCCTAATAAGTATATAGTCGCGTCGGCCGAACAAACAACACGTTCGAAGTTTATTGAGACGTCAAGGCTCCTACGGTGTTTGAATTGTTAGAACTGTTTACTAAAAAGAAAAAAACACCCGCCAGCTTCGTTCACTAGAGTTGAATTTTCCCACCAGCCCACTTGTTGCCATTACAACATATTTCAATTATTATTATTATTTTTTTTTTTTTTCATAATTAATCGAAAATAGTTACATGAATTACAAAGTTACTCGCGGAATATTAAACTAATTTAATTAAATTTATATTCATTTATGATTTGCGACACCCGTGAATCACGTCTACCCTGTCTTTTGTCCTATTTTACGGTTTTCCACACCCCTCTTTTTCGGATACACAAAGGATCCTATAACCTTCCGGAACTAATAAGAAATCGAACAAAAAAATTTCGTTAAAATAGGTAAGGTACATTTTTGCTAACATACAAACAGACGGTGGGGACGGCGGTTGGATGTTGAAACCTTCCTCAGACACATTATCAATAACGTTATAGCCTCGTTACTTCGATGAAACTGTAGAAATGTTTTTCCTCTTTTAGCTTAACTAATCATAAAATCAATTTAAAAAAAAAAAACCAATTGGAGGGTTTTTAAATTGTATAAAAAAAATATTGGAAATCTAGAAATTTGTTTGCAAATAAAATACCACCAGACGAAAATTCCACATGTTTAAATGTACGTGACGAATAATTTAAAGTGTTTAAATAAACGAAAAAAAAAACTGTTTTCCAAGAAAATAATATAAATAAAAAATAACCTAGGTTTTTAACCATTGAGAATTTCAAAACGTATTTTAAGTATCGTCTTTTAGAAATTCAGCAATTTTTCAACGTATGGAGTGAAAAATTCCAAGCATTTTTAATAATAGTGCTTTTTGAGTGAAAACACTAATAACTAACAGCTTCTTTGATGCAATCAGAATCTAAAATCGTTATGCACTAAAACAGCAGTTTAAACTCGTGTTTATTTAACGTTATTATACGCACTGAAATAAAACGAATATTGTAAATCCTAATACGACCTAAAGAGACCAAATTAAGAAAAAAAATAAACCATACGCAGTCCATTTTTTTCTCGTTGAATTTGGAAAAAAAATTTAAAACGAGGATATACTTCTTGCGTGGGTGGGCTACTATTGTAGATGAGAAGTTGGGAAGATAGTAGAGGGGAAATATTTAATGTATTCAGCGATCAACCATTGCTAACGAAAAAAACGATTCTGAGCCGAATTCGATTAATAGTGTTGCTCTATCAACAATATATATATTAAGGTAAAATAAATACATATATGGATTATATATTTTACATAATAATATTTGTTTAATATTTTTTCTATTTTCCCATTTATTATGCAGCTGATGAAATCAAAAAATGATCTCCCTAAAGTACCACTCCAGTCAAATTTCCTTTCAGAAAAAGTGCTATCATTGTAAATCGGAGCAAGATTACTGGTAGAAAAATTGTCCATGGAAAAAAATTCAAAAAATATCATTGTTAAATGATTGATATAAATTACGAATACGTATTTATTTGATTTACAGTACCTATATAGACATCGATGACTTGATAGAATAATCTCGGACCGTTTTGTATACGGTATACGCAAAAACTTCTTCAAACAACTATAAAATATATCGCTTTGTATGTTATATAGTTACTGCGGATATATAGACTGTTCAAATTAATTTCGCGATTCAAAAGTTTTCGATACACACGCACGTATACCTATTAATTAAGAGTAAGTTACTCGAAAATACAACAATAACAGGGCACTTAAAATTATATTGGAAGTTAATTATTGTTAAACTTTGATCTGCGGTCTCAAGTACTCGTTCGCATCGTAGCTTATCGATTACCTGTTGCACACTCGCACGTATACCTATTATACCGATACACGTCGCGAGTATTTCAAAAGGCGACCGTTTAATTGATGCTGAATGAATTATTACGTAAAAATGAATGCGCTTTCCCTCCCCCTCCTCTTTTTTTTTGTTTTTTTCACAGCGAATTTATAACGATACATATAAAGTTTGAGAAAGATATTAAAATTCAATAATCGAATTGACGAAAATGCAGTATTACAATGATAACAACTCGTATACAGCAATTTTTTAGGGTTTAATTCGTCAGCCCTTTGTACGTAGGATAATACCAAATCAATGGTCATTACAATATCGACAAGATGCTCTCACTAAATATTAGTGTTTATTTTTTTTTCAAAACATTTGTACTTATTACTATCGTAATAGCCTTGAATCCCTTAAAAATGGAATATAGGTTGTTTTTTGTTTATTTGTTTTAGTTTTTCTATATCTTAAACTAAAACGCGTAATAACAACAAATTAACTAAAAAAAAAAATAGAAAACTTGTACAATCAATTAAAAAAAAAAAAAAAAAAAAAAAACAGTAAAAACTGTGCTGCAGTCAAGAAATGTAGCAATATGCCATCAACTCGATTATTGTAAATACACTGCATATAGTAAAATCAATATAAATAAAATAATTTAAAAAAAAAAAACAAACTGAAACAATAATATAGCGACAGTAGGTATGTTTTGAGATCTATATACTAGTCTACCAGAAAAATCTCCGGAGACCTAATAACACGGTGGCTATAAGAGTAATTTGGCCCACCAATTTGGATCCGCCGGATCCGCTAGTCGGTGGCTCCGTGGAAATACCCGCTGCCATCGCCATGGCCAAAGGGATTTCGTTTTGCTCCATGTTTCCAGTGAACAGATGAGCCCACGGACCCCTCGCGAACACCATCACATCGTCGCCTCCGTGAGTCTCGCTATCTAAGTCAACTAAACTTGGATACTGATAATCGACGTTATCTGCGTGATAATAAAGTCAGAATAATGACGTTGTACAAAATGTTATTAATCGTTACATACAGTTGTGACAGCAATGGGGCAGTCGCCTATAATATCTCGTTTTTTAATCATTTATACGTGCGGAACGCCTATGGTTTGTTGTTATTTTTCTTTTTCCCCTATATTTCCTTATACTTATTCTTTTTGTAATCGCCCATTTATTCAGTATCTTACATTGTCTAAACACACTGCACACGCCCTGCAACAGTCCTCGCATCACTCTCAGATAAAAATCAGTTTTTCGAGCTTTATCTTCCCTTCCTTCTGACCAGATACGTTTTATAAAACTATTCTTATGGGCACAACCTCATTTTTTGCCATCATCCGTTTCCGAATTACTTCAATTTATTCTCTCTCATCTCATTAATTACAATCTAAACAATGCATAACTGCTTCTAATCAACTCATTACATATTAAATCATCACATACATCATCTCATACACTCATCCATTAATGTATTCTCGTCACACTTTACTTTGCTTTTTTCTTAATGCGATTGTCAGCGCATAAAATTTAAATACCTTGTTTATTTGGGTATCATTAAAGAAAAAAAAAATTTGTTAACATTTGTTTACCGAAATTATCGTTGGTAACGTTTATCCTGTGGCAAGAACTATCGTTTTGATAGGACTTTTTCGGACCGTTCGCGTAACTCAGTGTCGTGTAAGTCATGTTGTCCATGGCAACTTGATTAGTTGTTCCAAGAATGTTTCTACCACGTTTTGGATAGCCGGCCATCGACATAGTGTGAGCATGGTCCGAAGTCACTACAATTAAGGTGTCCTCTTCGTTGGTTATCGTGGCGGCTTCTTGCACGGCTTTTGAAAACTCTACCGTCTCGTCCAACGCTATTTTCGCCAGCGTGCTGTGATGCGCTTTGTCGATAAGTCCGCCCTCGACGAAAAGCACGAAACCCGCCGGCTCTTTTTGAAGCAACTGTATGGCTTTCGAAGTCATTTCCTTCAGCGTGGGCTGCTTCTTAATATCAGATTTTAATCTGTAGTCCATGTGATTCTTATGGAAAAGACCTAAAAAAAAAAAAAATACAACATGGCATATTATCATACCGACTCGAAAATGTCACGTTTAACTCGTTTACTGACCCAAAACGAAATCGACTTTTGACATGTCGGTGTTCAGCAATTCATCCTTGTTGGTCAGGTACTTGGCCGTCTTGCCAGCGAACCGATTCTGTTTGTCGTTTTTCCATTTTACGATCAGGTCCTCGTCCGAACGCTCCCCGGTGGAATTCTGGCCACGCATCACAAATTTATTGCGACCGCCGCCCATGATCACCTGTCACAATAACACGGAGATATTGCATATGTTTCTGCGTACAATTATCGACCTCTGTCGTAGATATGATATAATAACATCGTAACGACGCGTCGGCGTCCTTGAAGACGAACCTTGAAATTTCTACCGGGATCGTTGTCGATCAACTGTTTGGCTATATCTTCGCACTGGGTGACGTTCGTTTTATCACTGTCACTTTTCAGGTCGGCGTCCGATTCCCAGTCCCGGTGCGCGGTGTGCGCGAATGCGCCCGCCGGCGACGCGTGCGTTACCCTGGTCGTGGTCACGATACCCGTGGCTTTTCCGGCCCATTGGGCCCATTGCATTATGGACGTCGACCGGCGATCTTGCGGCACGGACGCCGGACAGTCGAACAACTGCACATTGGCCGTCACCCCAATGGTGGCCTTGTTGGTTTTGACGCCACACAGATAGGCCGTGGCCGTACACGCCGAATCCGCCACTTGGCTGTCGACGCAGTACGTCTAAAAGGGCAAAGGTGTGTAAGTCACTATACTAAGCATATGAAATAATATTATTTTATTATTAGGGTTCCAAACTTATTGCACTTAAAATTTACAAAAAAGCATTTCAAAAAAATGTTATAAGAACAAATGGTAAATGGGACAAAAGATCTCCAGTCTAGCAGTTCTAAGTTATCAGATATAATTTTCTGACACGACGCAAACGATTAACAAAAAGTAATAATGATTAAATAAAATCGTACGTAAAATAAAAAAAATAAAATACAGGTTTAATAGTTTATGTAGCTCAGGAAATTGTATTTAATAAGTTGGAGCCATTGAAGGAAGAACGTTCATTTTTTCAGAGCTTTTATAACATTTTTAACTGTTTTTTTGTGGATTTTAAGTGCAACAAGTCCCGAGCCCTAATAATAATTTATTGCCAACGGAAATTGTCGACCAATTGTTTATTTTTATTGTCGGGGCTCGTACGAATTAATGTAGCTAGAAAATATATTTAACAAAAACAGTCGTTTTTTTTCTAGTTTCATTTGAATGCTGAAAACCCGAGGGGAAGGGGGTTAATATCTTTACTCGTAGTATTTGCATATGTTTTGTTATCGGGCGTTCTATATATCGTACGACCACAAAAGCAATTCTATCTTTTCGCTTAAGCGTCCAATGCCTATAACTGGTGAAACACTAATTTTTTTTTTGTACATATTAAAATATGTTTAAGCGTTTACTGGTTGTTTACAAAAAACCGTATATCTATAGTATACGTTTTTTTAGGGCTACAATACGATCGCAAACCCTGTTCGTTGTAATTACAATACAATTTAATACTATTTATTACCTTGGATATTCCGGTGAACGGAAATTGTTCGAAGCTCAAGTGATCCGATTCCCCGGAAACGTTTTGCAGTTGACCCTGGTAGATCCGGGCCGCCGTCAATGTGGTCAACGACATGCCGTCCCCCAGAAATATTATCAAATTCTTGGCTTTACCAATTCGCAATTGCATTTTCGATTTTTCCTGTACCGCACGTTTTCCATTTTCCAACCAATATTTTGAATCTGTTAAATAAATTATTTACATAAAATTGATGATTTTATACGGCGATTTTCTGGGCGGTTTTTGTTTTTTAGTAAATTAGATTTCCGTATTTCATTTATTATAATACGAAATTTGTTTGAGCTGTATTTTAACCCTGTTTTCAACCTCTTCTCCTTATACCTCAAAATTGAGCACTAACTTTTAATGAGTTGTAACAATTTGGATTAGAACCGGGGGTACAGGGAATAGGGACAAAGGGCTATAAATTAATAGTCATTTAATAATGGTAATAATGGATAACGATAACCAAGAATTACCCTGTACATTCGGTTCGTTTAGAAATAAATCTAATTATACAATACAGTTAAGTATAAAGTATTTTTTTCCTATGAGACACACGATGATGTTATTTTTGTTTTTTAAAGACGTTAAATAAAACAAAAAATCTCATCTCTTATTTTCAAATACCATTGTGTCATCGGTAAATAGACTTTATACATTACTGTCATGATAATATTTTACATAATATTATAATACCTACTTCATTATACGATTGTACAATGATGTGTTAAAATTAAAACCGGTTCATATGTAAGTAAGCGATGTACAAAAACAAAAAAAATAAGCATACAACCATAACTCAAACATAAAATTATAATTTTAACGTGCTCATTTTAGATTCCAAGCGTAGTGATGGAGCTATTGGTTTTCCTAAGATGTTTATTTTTTTTCTTTGTTCTTTGTTCTAGTCTGTGGATACGTTTTTTCCCAGTAAATTTGCTCTGATTTTTACGTAAAGCAACTTTTCTGGAAGCTCGAGTTGTCTAAATTGTACAAGTCTTTTTTCGATTTTAGACGCAATTTTTTAAATAAAATCACTTAAGTGGGGAAAAAACGTAAGAGAAAGTAACATTTCACTATTTCATTATTTTATAAAACACAGACGACGTTTTCTACCAGAAAAAATGATTAAATCGAAAAATTACGAGACACCTTTTTTATTGCATTTTTCAATTTACTTTCTTACGGTATCATCACCAAAACTTTTGAGCTTTTAAGGAATTTTAATTTTTGGGAGTTTTTTTGATGCAATTCGATTATAAATACACGTAGAGACTTGAAACTAAATAATAATACTTATATTGGACTTATCTAGACGTGGTAAAATTTTCAAAATCATCAAATGATTTTTTTTTCTTTTTAATGAGCGTTTTGAAATTAAATTTAAACGAAAATCGCAAATTAAAATTAGAGATCTTCAAATTACGTATTACCGGACTATGCTCGGAATAGTCTTTCGTCAAGCAATGGTTTATCGTTGCTCACAGTAATAAATGAAATTACCATATGTATCCTACCTTCTCATCTTGTCATCTACAACAGTGGCCGCTCCCATCCCCAGTATCAGCTTTTTTTTTTTTATTTTTAACTTTCGATAATTGCTACGATTATAAAACCATAAGAGACTTTTTTTTTTAATTTTGGATCTAATAGCCGAATAAGAAAGTCGTTTTTTTTTTTTTTTTTTGCCGTATAGATTTCTTAATAATGACAAAACCGGAAAAAAAATGTAAAAAGAACGGGAAAGTTTTCGAAAATAACGATTACGTTATTTTAAACTTTGTGATTTAGTTGTAATTCGGTTAAAAATAAATGTAGACACCTGATATTTACACAGAATCCTTATATTTCTTCTTTATAGACATTTGATTTATTCTAGTTTATTTTTTGAAATTTTATTTGAATTTGTGGGTAAAAAATTGTTTTAACCAACTAGAAATACTTTAAAATATTCAGCATAATTTGTTATTAGTGGTAAAAAAAAAGTTATTTGTTTTTTTTATTTTATTTAAAAAAGTTATTTGTTTTTATAATAATTTTAAAAACGAATTTTGACGAAAATCATAAAAGTCAAATTATTTCAAAATACGTTTAACCGAACTCTGCTCAGAATCGTATTTTATCATAAATGATTTACCGTCGCATACAGATATGAATTAACATTTAATATCCTATACCTTTCAAATTCTTCATCTTCAGCTTTTTAAATTAATACTGTATCATTTAATACTTAACACAGTCTACCATCGGTTAAATAAAATATAAGTGTTATTATATACTATCACAGAATATGATTGATTATTTGACTATTGTCTCGCGAATAAGAAAAAAAAAGTTATACAAAATAGTATGCTGTGATCGTTTATCACTGTAATCTCTACTGTATAATCTATTCGTCTCTAGACGACAATATCGTGTTTATCTGCTTGTATACAGTTGTGCATGACAAAACATAATGTCCTAATCAAACAAATCGATATTTCGTTAAAATTAACCTAGTTGCGATCAAACGGTATTTTCCTGTGCCAACACAGTTTGTATATAAAACGTGCACTTGCACAATCATTTATTTTACGAAGAACCCCTTGAACCACCTTTGATTTCGCGAATACAAAATTACACGTGTCAAGTATTGAACACACATAAGTGTGCATTAAATATAAATGCAGGCTAGGTTACGTCTTGAACAAATTAACGAGAAGAGAATCGAAAATAATTAAAATATATACTATATGTCTGCTGTGCCACTGGTTAAAATATTTTTTTTATAAATTAGATAGTAGTAAATTATAAGTAAGTTAAAAATTGCAATCCATTTAATATTCAATATACAGTATAATGTAACTAATGCGAAGTACTTGAATTTTATCAAAAAAAAGAAATCGAAAACCGCTTTCAAAATAATGAAATTTGAATAATTTTATAGTCTAGACACTGCTTGACCGGTTTCGAGTCGAAATACGATTGCAAAATATTTAAAACATATTAGACACCAAATAATTTTCGTAAAAGCACATTTCTAAAATGCGTATTTGGATATTTTTATTTTAATACAAAGTTTCACTCAAATATAAAAGTTAATTGAAGTCTGATAGAATATCATAGTCCGATGTATATTATTGCGCACGAAAAACTGATGAGTCGCCATAAACATAGGGGATTTATAATTAAAATCGGTTTGTCCGAATCGGTGGACAGTTTCTAAAGTTCTGCAGTACGCACTCGTCACGGGAAATCGCAATAGTGCAGTATGTATACTATAATAGGTATAGATAAGTAGTTTTGAGGATTAATTTTCAAACAGTGTCCGTTTATGGCGGCCGTTTGAAGCGGATTACGTCAAATCGTTTGTACGGTTTGATTATAAAACATGATTGTGTATAAAATATTAATATTTAATCGGTACTCGCCTATTTTTACAAGTCTCGGTCGACAAAAAAATAAATAAATCCATTAAGGTATTATAATTGTGTAGGTAGATACTCGATGATTAATCGACGTATGTTTTGAAAAGTACAACGACCTAATTTGAAATGAAAAATACGGACATGAATGCGCTTGCACAATTGTTGGGTTTGGAAATCGACAAGTTATGGTGAATTTCGTCTTAAAGTTTTCAACGTTTTTACAAAGCCAAAACAATCTTTCCGCGTATAATCAAATTAAAAATAAAAAAAACCCAAACATTTAAAACGGCTGAAATAGGTCAAAAACCTTTCATTCGTTTATAGTTCGTGTCTAAAAATTCAAATTATTGAAAAATGTTAATTTTTGAGTTGAAAACTATAATCGACTCTATCAAAAACAACCATAAATCCATAAGTATAGGCAACTCGGGGCTATAATTTCTAACAAAAAACGAAATTAGTAAAATAACGGTGTTATCATCTAAATATCTGTTCCTGTTTAAATTTTATACATTCAAATTTTTTTTTTTTTTATTCCTAATTCTACTCTCCGATTTTCACGCACCAGGATGCCAATATTATAACCGTACACCGTGAAATATAAATTGTCGTGTGTTATCATCGTTCTTACATCATACTCGATGTTATTGTTTTACGGCCTCGAACCAAAACAATCGAAATCCATTCGATTATTCCCATCATATTATGTGTGTCACGTGACGTGGGAACTCGTCAACGATTATAAATGCACTACCTATTCGTCAAATATTATATACATACCTATACAAACCCGCCGAAATTCGATTGCAGTAATTACACGACAGCGGACTAAATGGACATTACAATAATATGAATAATTAAAAAAAGAAGTGTTTTGTATTTCGTCCAGTAATTTTTTACGCCTAAAGAAAGTTTAATTCTCGTGTGTTATTATATTATGCGAAGGTCGCAATTATACGTATATTATTATACTTCTGTAAAATTTCGTCATTAAATAACGATTTTTCCGAAAACATTGTAATAATCGTGAGTATTAATTTTTGTAGTTTCATATACAGGTTTAAAAATAATATTCAGCTTCGAGACCTTCAACGAGGAATGTATTGGCTTTGCTGTACGGTGTGTTGTACATATTTGTTTCGTGTCTTTTCCAGCTGAAATATTTTTGTAGGGTTTTTGATGTCTAGCCGCCGCATTTCTTTTTTCGAATTTTAGTATCCTTGTTATAAATGATTAACGGTAAAAAAATAGGGAAACATTCTCGAAAATGTTATGCTACATTCATCTGTACACTGTTCTTGTGGTGCTACAAAAATATCTGTAGTTCGCTCGAAATCGTTTCTCGTTGCAAAGTTTCTCAGTGAATTACACTACTCTATCTCACCTTCCAACCTTCTCTCAGGTACTTTTTTTTTGGTTTTTAATTATTCTTATTCGAGGTATAATATTTTAATAATATTTTTCAATATTGTTATTACGATTGTTCGTGCGGTGTTGAGTGCATATTTTCCTCTTTCAAAAAAAAAAAACAAATCCTAAACCACAACAAACGCTCGTTATTATAGTACGATGGTGTGTATGCGGTTTATAATAATGACCGTACAAGGTCAATAATTAACTTCACAGAAAATAATTATTATTATACACTTTTTAAAAAAAACAAATTTAAATTAAAACAAATACAAATAATTACTAGTATTATTTTACTAGAAACTTTTTTATCTTTAGTCAAAATTCACTACTGTATTTCAAAATATTCATAATTTAGATGGATAATGTGAAATTAAAATTGTTTATTATTACGATAAATACGTTATTTGGTAGACAATTTGTAAATACAATTGTTTAACTGAACAGAAATGTTTGAAAACTAAACAGGAAGTTCATTATAAGTTGCACATAGTGGTAAAAAAATATTAGAATGTAATGTACTAATTTTTTTTTCTTAATGGTTTTAAAATCAAATTTTGATGAAAATCGTCAATATTACAACCTTTCAATTCATGTACAAACGTACTTCGTTCAGAATCATTTTTCGTTGATAATTGTTTATCGTTGTTTACAGATATAGATTAAATAAATTTATGTGTCCAACCTTCCTAACTTACCATTTACACCAGTCAACAGGATACGTTCTCTTTTTTAGATTTAATTTATTATGTTGTTTACAAATTAATTTTTTAATATTTGTTGACATATTTTTATCACAGTGAATTAACGGCACTCAGTAGGTACCTATATGATTTATTCCGAAAAAAAAAAGGCAGGTTAAAATTCGCTTCCGAAAATCCATTTCCGAACTATATCGAGAAAATTTATCGTCAAAATACAATGCTAAACGAGTTTATAAGCAATTACATTGACTTGGTTAACTATTAGTTTTGAAAAAAAATTATCGAGTTAACACGTTGTACGTGTTGTTTTATAAATTGACTATGTCAAGTTCGAAGTAGATTTGAAAACACGATAATTAACGTAATAATCCGAGCTCGCTAATAAACGCTCGGGGTTACATACTGTAATGCATGCGTATAGACATGCGTTCAGCCCCCCCCTCCACCCAAAAAAAAACCATAATATTATATACGTATCGCGTTTAAACTTAAAGTTAATAGAAATTTAAATCAATCGGTCGTTTGTGTCGATTCGACTTTGGGGACTTTTATACACTCTCACTGTTATTGCATGCATCGTCGGCCTCGGAACGAAAACGTTGAAAAGAATACTCAAAAAAAAATCCGAACGAATATAATTCAGACAAACAGAATAATGTCGGGCAAATGATAATATTACGAATAATATCGCTAACGCGATTGTTTTAACGCGCGACGTTACCTGACTCCTGTGCGTTGACGGCCGCCGACACTTGTTGAAGTGCACCGCAGGCCAAAACCACCGCGCACACGGCGAATGATGTCCGCATTGTGATCGACGATAACGTTTTTTAAATTTTGTTTTGTTTAGGTTTTTTACGGACGCGGTTTCACCAAACTCGTCTCTGTAAATAACGCACGCGGGCTTATATACGGCAGGCGGTCGCCGCGCGGCGTACCGCCTCTTCCGAGCCGTAGGTGGGAGGCGGGCGATTTCCGACGGTTCGGCCGTATCGTCAACGGAATTAGTTCGCGATATTACAGGAGATTTCGCGTTATTTGCACATTGATACTATTTCGTTTTCCTAATCCATACGCTCATCTATTTATCGTATATGAAAACGACGTTGTCGTAAAATCCGTGGTTCTCTATGCGCACGCTATGCGCGTGAGGTACTCACGTACTTAGGCGTCGAAGGCGCAACATTTTGAGTCTCGATAACCGCCGTCATGATGGACATATTAAGCCGGCAGACATTTGATCCCATTTATCGGTATACGGTAATAAAAAAAAAAAAAAAAAAAAAAAAAAAAAAAAAAAAAAAATACACGTTATAAATTGAATTATTATTATTATTATCATTATTTCTTTTTATACGTTAAATTGTATTTTATTGACGTTATCGCGGTGTTATACGCGTACTTACGAATATTAAATTTGTTTTAAAAATTGTTTTTTATTTTTAATTGTCGTCGCGTGTCGTGGCGGCGGACGGGTGGAAACAGCCTTACGAACACATTATTTACCTATCATACCTATATACGTAAATCAGGCGATCGGTTTTTTTTTTTTTTTTTGCGAAGTACCTAATGCGCAATGAACAAATATTAGGCCATGTTGCGAAATTAACCGTCGTCAAAAGTGCCGTTACTCTATATTATTATGACTACGTGATGTCAAACACGCGAAAGAGAACAATAAGTGAAAAAACCGTTCGAAATCAAGAAAAAGTAATTTACAAAGTACCTATATTAAAAATAAAATATTAAGATAAAACGTTTCAACCGGTTGACCGTCGCAATTGTAATGTCCGTCTGCTCGCGAAAACTGTTTTGAGTGGCGCAATATTGTAGATCGCAAAGGAATAATTATTATTATCATACGAAGTAAAATTAATAAACACAAAAATAAAACCTCAACATAATTCCGGGCGCGAGGTTCTTGGTAACTCCTATATTGAACTATACAAAGGTACAGGGTCGGGATGTTACTATGTGGTGACATCGTTATTGAATGATTATAGTAAATGGTTCGTAAAGGCAATACCGATACATATAGTTGAAAAAAAATATTTCAAAACGTGCTTCCTTAAAATAATTTAAAAAAAAATGTTTTGTTAATGTGAAAAAGACATACTCGCACAGTAGAAGGACCACTATTTCCTATGTTTCTATTGGGGACGCTATAACTAAAATACCATCCACGTTAATAACTTTTCCAGTAACAACTATATTTATTTTATTATTTTATTTTTTTTATCTGTGAACTTATATTCAACCTAACGGTTGTTGACAATAACGAGTCGATTACACATTATTAATGTTTCTGTCTTTCTGACTGGTGTATAAGAAAAACGTGTTCGCGTAAAACAAACGATGGGGCATTTAAAATCGGTTTTCTAGATGTCAAGCACCGGATTTTTAAATGTATAGATAATATTCTCCGTCGTATTGACAATGATATCTGAATATTCGACTCGTTATCGAAGGTCTAAAAAAAACTATATTTCACATTTTTTTTTGTTTTTAACAAATTTGTTAATTATTAGTATTTCGAGTAACGAAGATGGTCTTTGAAATTTTGCCAACAAATTTCTTAAAAAATAGGCGTTTTATGTCGAAAGCCGATTTTAACGGTTGCTTCGATTGTTCTACGTGAACACTGCCTGTCAGAAAGATAGCTGAATGTGTGAAATTTATGGAATTTTATAAAAAAAGTAAATAATTGATGTTTCGATATGTGTGTATATAATATAAGGTGTGCCGTTAAAAAAGTAGTCAACAAGATTCATCTATTAAAACTAAGGGTTATTATAGTTTTGAAAAAAAAAAAAAAATGTTATAATTAACACTTTTTATTTAAACGATATATACACCTAGTTGACTATCTCTGAAATGATATTTTTGTATTCTCCTAATCCAACTATATAGTGAAATTGTATAAGGATTGAAAATATAAATATAAATATTTAAGATAAGCGATTGTATATAGTAATTTTTTTTGACAAAAAATACTTTTCCCACTACTATTATAGACAATAAACATAATATCTCTAAATACAAATCAATAATATTGATAAAATTTTGCTCTGAAGGAAATATTATAATACTGTATATAGGTAACAATTTTAGATTCTGAGTGGAACGATTAATGTATTGATTTACAATGATATGATGTTTATTTTTATTTTTTTTTTATGTGAACACTTTTTCTACTAGAAAACAAACTCCGATTTTGAAGCATAACACTTTTTCTGAAAGTAAATGTTCTCTTGGTGGTACTTTAGAAAGGTCATTTTTTGAAATTCTCATTAACATTCGTTATTATGAGGAAAATCCGGTTCTTTAAGCTATATAAGATTGGAAGATTAAAAATAAAGTTGTCATTGATAAACGTTTTTATTTATTTTTTTAAATCTTTTTTAAACAATAATTTTTGTCATGGAAACGCATATCGTTGTAATCATTTTACTATAATATGACATGCCTAAGTATTGTTGACAAAAAAATACTATCAACTGAACTCCGCTCAGAATCGGTTTTTCGTTTGCAATGTTTTATCTATTGCTTACAAATATATATTAAACTCCCTTCTGTATCGCACCTAAAATAGTAGCTGCAACCTCGTGTGAACCATGTTTGTCTTTTTTTTTCATTTTGTAATTTTTTAATGATTTTAAATAAATTATTTGTGCTTATATGCTTTAAATCAATTTCTAAACATTTATACTACTCTTACACATAATTCGATACAACCGTAATATGAAATTTTCAACAGTTTTAAAACAATTAAAAAGTCGTCTGATAAGTGACCAGTTGCTTAATTTGAACCGAAAGAACTGTCGATAGACCACTGTAATACGTTCTTATAATCAGTGAAATGTATTTTAATCAAACTTGTCATTTATAAACATTTAACTTAATGTGAAACAGATTAGCTTTTACGCTAGCTTATTTGCAAAGAATAGATGTTTATAACAAAATTAAAACTAAATTAATGTGGTTAAGTAAAACAATTATTGTAAAAATACATATTTTGCAATGCAGTGTAAAAATTTATAATTTTTTCATACATACCTAACGCTCTAACATAGCTCTAACATGAGAATTTTTTTTTTTTTTTTATATATAAAATATTATTCATATGTGCGTATATCCTCAAATTAATTTACCAATACACCTCTGGGTAAAATTAAATGCTGGATCCGATAGGAACCGTTGGCAACGTTGAATTTTCGGAAGACATCCTAACTTATAGTTAATAAAAAAAAATGTCTAACAAATCATTATAGATGATGACATATACTCAAAATTGTACGTTTTTCACTTGTCAAATGTATTTTACCAGAATAATAATCATCACTACTATATGGGTAATAAACATAAAACGTACTAAATTGTTTTTTATTAAAAAAATAAAACGAAAAAAAAATGAACTTCTCTTTACATAATATAACACTACAACAACAGGCCTTATTATTACGCGAAACAATAGCGAGTCGTTTTTAACAAATCGAGCTTCGGATGACGACGACGATGTAAGTCGAAAAAAAACTGCCCAGCATGGTGTAGAATAGTGACGGGACGGACGCAACCGGATATCCAGCAGAAGAATACGGTGCTGGGCCGTTCTTTAGTCCAGCTAACGGCCCGATGCCGGCCGCGTATCCCATGGTCAGCGGTATGATGTTTTGTTCGTAGTTTCCACTAAACAGATGGGCCCAGGGGCCCCGGGCGAACACCATAACGTCGTCGCCCCCGTGGGTCTCGTCGTCCAACGGCACCAATGACGGGTACCTGTACGACGGATCGTCTGAAAACGAAATACGATATTATTATTCAATACGTGTCGAAATCCCAAAGTATAATTGTTATAACAAAGGTTCCTGATGACACGAAAATGAATATCATCGGCTACCCGCGGTAAGACGTCGTAAGGCAAATTTTCATTTTAATGTCCGCCGTGGCATTTGGTTCTCGTGTATAATTTTTCCTAATTGACTTGCGAGGTTTTGCCGGGTAACCGACGACATTGTACAATATTTGTCTAAATTAGGTAACATACGACAGCGATAGTGAATGAAAATAAGCGATTATTTTCTAAATGCAATGAAAAAATCGATTTCACTAGTGTATTTCGTCGTGGGTTTCTTTTACTCTTTTTTTTTTTTTTTTTTTTTTATTAAAAATAAACTTTCTATTGATAATATAACAGTATATTGTGTGTATACGATCTCGGTAATCTTCAAACATGGTTTATTGAATATAATAATATTGTACATAGTTTATTTATTGGATTACGGAAGTAAAGTAATTTATATCCCTCTTTTAAAAAAAAGCTGAGTACACCAACGATAAGCATACTATAGTATGTTTGAACAATTTATAATATTACACAACATTGTGTTCTGTAGTACAAAATAAAAAAAAAAAAACATGAAAGTTATCTAGTAAATTTTCTATAGTATTGCGTTTAGTCTTCCTTCAGATATAAATAATCTGAATAACTACTGATCGATAACACGAACGAAGTTCATTTTCGTTTGTTTCAAAAGGTTGTAAAAATAAAAGAAAACCACTACAGTAAATACTACTAATATTCGCCTGATTTATTTGTGTAATTTTTTATAGTTATTCATTTTTCTCAAAAAACGTTTTTCGGTTAGTCAAAAATAATCCGATTTCTTCACACAGTACACCTCAAAAGATGCGTTCGATGGCACTTTATATCAGAAATAGGTTTTTTTCTTTAGTTAGCTAATTAAAGGGAGTACTCTAACTAACGATAGTAGATGCTCGGCAAAGATTAATCAACAAATAAGTATGGAAAAAAAAGTATTTGAACAAAAAAAAAACAGCTGATTACAAATAAAAAGGTTAAGATGGAGATGAGGAAAACTTCACCAAATGCTTTGTATGGAGTGTTTTGCTGTACCGTTTTAAGACGTGAACTATGATTGAGAAAGACAAAAAGAAGTTGAAAGTGTGGACGTGGAGAATATTATTGAAAGTCAGTTGGGGACAGAAATTAAAATTAATGTAAATGTATTAACTCAAGTATGTGAAAAAAGCATTCTGTTAAGTATTATAAGGAAATGAAGAGGAAAAATGTGCGGCCACTTATTGTGGCATAATCTATTTGTAACGAACATATTTGAAAAATGGATAAATGGATAGAAAGGAAGGGAAAGTCCATGAAAAGCATATATAAAAGAAATTACAAGACAAGCTGGCTGTAATAGTGACACAGACATGAAAATATTGGCTATAAAGAGAGAAAAATGGAGAACCAGATTTGTAACCACATGGCAATGGCCTTTTGTAGAAGAAGAATGGCGACTATTGTATTGGCTCCCAATATTAGGTGAAATTTCTCATCAAACATTGAATTAGTTCACAAGAAATTAAATATTGAATTTGCTCCCAATACGATTTTGAACAAGTGGTTCTCTCAAAATATAAATTGGTCCTATAAATACAAAAGTGGAAAAAGTATGTGACTTTAATATTTTTAGTGACACAGTGCCAAATAACTACTGGGAATTATCTAATCTTTAATCCGATAACACATTAAACAGTCACAACCATTATAATTATATAGTTCAACTACTAGTTTCACTGATATCGTTAAACGCAGTACTCGCAATTCATCGCAATTCGTCGCAGTTCTTCGTAATTTGTACCCCTATAGTTTTGTATAAAATGAATTCGGCTGAAAAAATGAGTATTGAAAAGAGAGAATTAAACAATCCTCTCCAAAATACATTTAAATGTAGGTACTAATTTTTAACGATTTTGATGGACTATAAAATATAATATTTGTGTTTTAAATTATTTTAATGTATAGTTAAGTTATTATTTCGAACGATTTTTATAACCAATGGATTTATAAAATAAATGCTGAGGGAGCCAACTCAATGCATAAATCTTGGGAACCAATTCAATGCGTATAAACGTCGATTATCTCTGAATTTGGAAGCCAATTCAATGGTTCCGAGAAGAATTGTACTATATTTTAAAAAGTCCAAAAAATATATCCTACAGACCGTGAACATTTTTATTCTATACGGTTTTAACGGGCCCGTGAGCGGACGATTGTTTAAACCTTAATACATTTTTTTTTATACATATATATATATTTGTACGTGTATTTATACGCTCGGAAAAAATGTATAAAAAAATAAATAAATTCCCGCGGAAGAACAAAATATTATATAGGAGTACGCGGGTATAAAGTTAAACGGCGAAAAGAATCATGTAGCGATATATTATAATATTTCACGCAACGTATAGCAAAACAGAATCGTTTCAGACGTCTCGGCGAAAAAGTTCACCGAACTCACGTAGGTACGCGGAAGTTATGATGCGCGAACACATACAATATTTTAATATTATACGAATCGAAAGTTATAAAACATATTTTCCAAAGGACACGACTGCTCGCTTATAGGTATCGAACGAAATTTGTATACGCATATAGGTACGCATATTATATAAAACTTTTTATTAGCGCGTATAAAAATGAGCGAACAGCGTCGGTGTGCCGACAATAAAGTCGCTCGTCCTCTCGGATGCATCCGTCTGGTGGTTATACGCGCGCTCCGTTTTCAAAAGGTGCTTAGAAACCCGGACGCGAGTCGGATATCACGTCTGAATATAACTTTACACGACTTCGTATACAAGGTGATTCGCTAAGCGTGCTCAGTGAGCACTGCTCACCGCATTTTTTTTTTTTTTTTTTGGTTAAATTTTGTATATATTTTATATAACTTTGGTTTTTCAAATGAGAACCTAAAAAAAAAATCCATGAATAGACGGAGTATTATTTCAAATAAATTTTGCTAACAAATTTTTTGATTTCCGTCTATCCGTTAACGAGATATTCAACTTTTAAGTTTAGGTAGGCTGAGGGTAGTGGAGTATCATTTGTGTGGCGACACAACGCGCAGCGTTTTGTTAGTGCTCCACTACTTTTTCTCTATCTAAACTTAAAAGAGGAATATTTCATTAACGGGTTGACGGAAATGAAAAATATGAGTATTACGGAAAACCAAAATATATTTTAAGTAATACTCTGTCTATTTATGGAATATTTAGTATAGGTTTTCATTTGAAAAACCAAAGAATTTGTATCACCCCACAGGATGCTCCTTAAATGTCGTGATAAATCTAAATATTTGAAAATATCGGCTTTAAATATACTAAAAAGTTCAAATAAATCAGAATTTGTATAGTGTTCAATAATAATAATGATTGTTTAAGCGAAATCGACACATTGAAACTTTTACTACGGGAAACATCGATTTTGACGTTTAACTCGAAATCGGAACGCGAATAACAATATTAAAGAGTGTTAAATGGAATAACGTATTCGGAGAAAAGGGGGGGGGGCTGTTATTTCGTTTTTGTCAATATAGCTGAACATTTTTTTTTTTTTTTATCAGATAATATTTTCGAAAAACACTACCAAATTGAGATAACGAATGTATAAAATGCTACATTTAATCAACTGGAATTAATTATTATAAATTATTATTTATCGTGTTTTTTTTTTTTTTTTTTTTTTTTTATTAAGACGAATAATATGGACATAATATATTAAAACGATATGATATACAAAAAAAAAAATCGATAATACATTCACCTTTCGGACCTTGTAATGTATATTGTACTAAGCATTGTTCTAGGGAAATATAAATAATATATTAAACGAAACGAAGGTCAGACAGTTTAACGAAAATTGCCGTAGTTGATAAATGCAATTATTTTATTAGTATGATACAGTATACGAAAGCTGGATGAACATGCTGTTCAAAAATACTGTCGATATAGACTGAACAGATAATATTTCGTAGGATACGGTAAATATAAGGTATATTTCAGAACATTTAATCGTCAGTAAACTTTAAACCATTATCTGGTGTAATAATAATCTATGTATAAACTGTATTAGAAAAAAACTCATTGTAATGTTGCAACATTAAAAATTAGTTAAACAAAATAAAAAAAAAAAAGCACCAAGGAGAAAATCTCTGACAAAAAAAAAAAATATAAAACATTTGTTTTACCGTCTAAATCGACGTGGAATAACAATCCCAAATGATGACAGAATAGCCAACCCAAATTTGATGAAAAACAGCCAAAAGAAAGAAAACAAAATCAATATTAATATTATTCAAATATATAAATAAGTACCTACTTCTGTTCCATAATTTATTAATATACAAATTTAAATTCCTACATTATATACGTATTTCAATTATCATTTGAAAATGAACTGACTGAAATGATTTAAGCATATTGGAAAGGGGAATCTGAAGCAGTAAGAATTAAAGTGACAATAAATTCAGGATAAAATAGACGGAGAGAAAGACAAAAAAATATGATTGGATGCGATTGAGAACAACCGATGTATGCGAAGCGAGATATCTGCTGAAATTTAGAACGGGGGTGGCCGATTCCAAATATTTGGGGTAATGGAAAAAGAGAAGAAGAAAAAATCTTAGAAATATTATCTATAAATATCTTATTGGGGAATCAAAAAGAAAAAAACGCCATCATGGAAACCTTACACAATAAACAATATATTATGTGATTTTTAAGCCATACGTCTTGAATGGGTGGGTTGTGTGTGGCGAGCCGTAAAGAACATTTTTTTAAATAAACTAACCGTTAAGAATAATTCGATGGCCAGTAACACCAAAATATAATACTTCTGAATCCTGGAGGAATATTTTGAATCTTATCAACGTACGAATTTAAGATTTCAAAAAATATGTATTTCTCTTTAAAAAAAGTGTCTGGTATATGTAATGATCGTAAACGTGACAACATACCGATGTTAACTTTGCAAGAATCCGATCCATTGCAACCTGCTGTGGCTCCTTCGACGCGTTTGGCAGAAGGGCCGTTGGCGTAACTAAGCGTGGGGTATGGCAAGCCGTCCAACCCCTGCATCCCCGACATTCCCGTGATCCCCTGGCCCCTATCTGGATATCCACTCATAGTCATGACATGTGAGTGGTCGGATGTGACCACAATCAGTGTGTCGTCCTCGCTTGTCATGTCTACGGCGCGCTGGACTGCCTTAGAAAATTCCACGGTCTCGTCGAGCGCCTTCTTGGCAAACAACATATGATGGGCTGAATCGATCAGACCGCCCTCGACAAACAGAAAAAATCCGTTTTTCTCCTTCTTCAAAATTTCGATTGCTTTTTCCGTCATCTCCTCCAGGGTGGGCTGTGTTTTTGGGTCCGCATTCAAGTGAAATTTCATATGTTTGTCATCGAAAAGTCCTTTAGGGAAAAAAATATCATATAAGTATCGTTATTAATTTTTTAAACGACGTAAATAAAAATAAACTTTCCAAGTACACGTTACACATGTAAATAAACTTACATCAACGACTAAAAGAAAAAAAAACATATCTGATATTGTAGATGAGTCTTCCACTGTTTCACTGGTGAAAAGTTGGGACGATAGGATATATAAGATTATTCAATTTATATATATAAGCAAAGCAACAATAAACCATTGCTAACTAAAAACTATTCTGATCAAAAAGTTCGTTTGATACATAATTTACAGGGCCGTAAGATTTATGATTTTCGTCACAATTTGATTTTAATTTATATAAATAAAAAAAATACTACATCAAACATAATTTTTTTTTTTCACCACTAAGCATGACTTATAATGAACATGCTGTCAACTATTCAAGCATTTTGTGTAGTCTAACAATTGTACCCACAAATTAACTACCAAATAAATATACGTAAAAATTTTTTACCACTTTAGAAAAGGCAACTTTAAGTTTAAAATTTCAAGTGTTGACGAATATTTTTAACTTAATTTCAACAAATATGAAAGTTTAAAATAATAACTGTATTCTTTTTGTAAACTTTCACGTTCTTTCTACGTTTTTTTTCGGTTTTGCTCTGTTATTGGGCCATCGGGAATTCGAAAGTTTTCCCGAAGGACCACTTCTTCAAATAATTATTTTAAAAAGTATTTTATATCAACAAATTATACTGGAATTTTGAATTATACTAATAACGTTTAAGTTAGGTTAGATTTCAATTTTTTTTTAAACTAAATTGTTTTTAAAATATATATATGTAATGAAATATAGGTACATATATTAACCCCTTTCAGCCTGAGCTTGTGATGGAATAGACTGTTTAATAATACAAAACGAATCAGTATTAGATTCTGAGTGGAGTTACAATAATATTTTTTTTTCAATTGTGAACAACTTTTCTTCCAGAAATATTGCTTCAATGTACAAGTATAGCACTTTTTTTGAAAGGAAATCTGACAGGGGTGATGGTACTTTAAGAAGGTTATTTTTGATTTTCCCATGAATTTTCCCAGTTAATGGGAAAACTGGAAAAATAGTTACAATATTATTAAAGACAATATATAATGTCTTGAAATTAATTTACCATATTATGACATATATATATTATCGACAAAGTAACACTATCAACTGAACTCTGCTCAGAATTGTGTTTTGGTTAGCAATGGTTTATCTATGCTTACAGATATACATTATTTTCCCTTCTGTTAAAAGTACACATCATAGTAAAAACAATATACGTATATTCTTCGCTGCGCTCAGAATCTCAAAAAAAAAACGAAAATAAATCCGTCAAAATAATATGAAAAATATGTTAGTTAAATGACTGTTACATGTATAATAATATACTATAATATACTAGTAAATTATAATCCCTTTTACATTTCGAATTAATGTCATTCGCACATAAAGTCGACTGTATAAGAAACAAAATAAATATAACATTACAAGTTCATATCGGTTATTTGCAGCTTACCCAATAAATAATCGGTTTTAGAAGGGTCGACATTCAATAGTTGTTCCCTGTCTTCGACGTATGTTGCGTTGTTATGGGTCCGGAAACGTTTAGTCTTATCTTCCTTCCATAGTTTCAAAAGGTCCATATCCATTCTATTTCCTTTTCGTTCCGTGTTATTTTTGTGCAAGAACATCTGACGGCCGCCGCCGAGTATTACCTACATTTTAATAATTGACATTATTACTTTATATTGTTTTAATAAGCATCTTATAACAAAAAGACAAAAAAAACCAAATTCAAACCATAGTCTAAACTGAAAAAACGATAATATATAGTTTCATACTCAAAAAGCGTTACATATATACTATATATACTATATAATTAACTCACGCAAACGATTAAACATAGCTTTCGAGGCATAAGTTTAGCCTATTTTCTAAGAAATTTAGATTTAGAAAAAACCGTCTTCTATCTCCGTGATGCCACTATATAATAAACTGAACCGAAAAATGTTAATCGAAAACAAAATTCCATTGTAAAACAAATAGCTCTTCTCAAATATTCGATGGGTTTGGAAAAACGAGTGGAAAAATAGTGAACATAAAAAAAACGCTATTAAAAGATAAAACGTTTGAAAAAAAAATGTCAAATGCGCCAAGTGAAAGAAGACGGAAATAATTTGTCAATCCTTTACACGTCTTAAACACTCATTAGTTACAAATTTTAATTTATTTCTTACGCATTTTTTTTTTTTTTTTACCTAGTCGTCCTCTTATACCGATGATAATGTATATTATTATTATTTTTTTTTTAGCTCAGTATAAGAGACATGACCAAAATAAAATGCACACAGTTATCAAAAATATGTAAAAAAAAAAAAATAACAAACCTTTGACATCGAAAAACTAATCAGTATATATAGTATATCGTACATAGTAACATCGAATACATGCAATATTATTTCTTTGTCGGTATTATTAAATATATTATTAACATATTCCGTCAATCCGATTATTACAAAATTTAATAAAAGTAATAAGGATAGAATCTAACCTAACCTAACCGCACTTTTCTACTACTTTTCATATAACAAGTAATTATAATTTTATCAAGATTAAGATGATGTTAAACTAATTATAAATAAAGACGTTTTTCCAAATCTCTACAAACGAATATAGGTTGCATTAACTATCCTAGTCAGTTCAACAACATTCGAGAGTAGTTTTTCTTTTATGCGAAAATTAAAAACAATGACTAAAAAATATTATGACACAGTGACAGTTTAGTAACTTAGGTATCATTAATATTGAGAGATACTTAACAAATAAAATTGACCCGGAAGAAATATTGAACAAATTTGCATCTACCGATCGAAAATTATGTTTAAAAATTTGAAATACAATGAAAAATACAAATAAAATGTGTTAAAATTGTCTGTGCATTATCTTGGGGAGTATGGGGGGATAGAGCCTCCTACAGCTATATGAGTTTCATAATTTTAACACCTCCGTGATTTGGTCAACTAGTTGTGCCGCTACTAAATCCTAACTCAACATAAACCATATTCTGACGAATTTAATTAAGGAACAAAGAATACACTAGTTAAGTGGCATAATGGAAACCTTGAAAAAGACATAGAAAAGACGATAGAAAAAGATGAATTAACGAAGCGCGCTGAGAAGTCTGAGAGGTGATAATTGTAGAGAGGTATTTCAAGATAAAGATAAGCGGCAATCGTAGTCACGGATGCAAAAACTTTTAAAGAATATAGGATTTAGAGGTATGTAAGTATATAGAAAAATAGAAGAGACGATTACAATTATTTTGACCAAAAAATAAAATATATAAATATTTTAATAAGTTCATAACATTTATATCGTTTATACCGATCAAATTTAACACGGATAAATGATTAGCATATTACAAAAGCCCATGCAACCGTAACATTATCACACCTAAAATATTACCTTAATGTCTTTACCGGGATGACCGGTCACTAGCTGCTTGGCGATGTCATCGCACTTGCTCACGTCGGGCTCGTTCTCTTTACCACTCATACCGTCATCCTCCCATTCCCGGGAGGCCACGTGCGCATACAAGCCGGCCGGCGAGGCGTGCGTCACCCTGGCTGTGGTTACCAATCCAACGGCTTTGCCGTGTTTCATCGACCACTCAGCTATAGACTGGGTCCTATTTTCGGGCGCCAACGACCCGAGACAGTCGAAAGTTTTCACCTTGGCCGTCACCCCGATCGTCTCGAAGTTAGCTTTCACGCCGGTCAAGTACGCCGTGGCCGTACACGCTGAATCGGCCACCTGTTTGTCCACGCAATACGTCTGAAACGAATAGCGAAATCCCTCGATCAATCAACATTATATAATATTATAATGGAGACGGGAAATTATAGATATTTTATAGTTTTACAAAAAATTAAAATGAAAAAAAAAATGTTGGAATCTTCTATTTACGAGTATATATATATATATATATAGCTGTAGTCGAGCTGAAAAGCTGTTATAAAAATTATATACTAAGTTTATTGTTAATTTATTTGCGTATTTTGGTAATTGTCATAAAAAATGTACACTTCAAAAATGTATCTTCTGCGTTTCTAATTAGTTATTATTTATTAAATTAAAAAAATATATTAATATTTTGATTTTTTTTTTAACTTTGCTACAATAACTTCTCATCCTTCGTTATTGGATTAAATATACGATAGGATGAGGTTCAAGTATAGTACAGTTGTACATTTTTCTGAAGAAATTTGACCACGATTTCATGAACATAAAAAATCGGATGAATTTTACTAATATTTTTTTATTATTTAAAAGGGATTGAAGAGACAATAAAGACGCATAAAAGGAGTTGTTTATAGCCAATCTTCTGGACACTGAAAAAATAAAATTTTATCAACTTAAAAATATTTAAACTCACTCGTCCCTGTCATTATTACAAGCATTAATTGTGTAATCGTAAAATCAACAAAGATATTCACGAAAAACTAGTTCGTGTGAGCCAAAACTACTCGGACTATGAAGTTGTAGTTAGTAAAAATTCTATAAAATGCGCATAGAACTTTCTCATATAAGATTTTTGAGATTGAAAAATTTAAAATACTAGATTTTTAAACAATTTTAATTTTGTTTGTACTTTTAATATCTAACGATCGTTAGATTTTGTATAGCTCAAATTTGTCTTATTCTATGGTGAAAATTTGATCTCTTAATTATTAAATTTATAACCCGAGTAGTTTTTTTCCGTGCAAAACTGTTTTCAAAGTCGAATTACGGGCTGTAAAACACTAGGATGCCCTTTTAAGACTAGTGAAATTGTAATATTTACAGAATATGACATATTTAGGTATAATTTACAATTTAAAGAAATAAATACCAATAATCGTAACATAACATCACAAGTACATTTTTCCATTTTTTTCTCGAAAACGGCCGGTATTATGCTATTTGACACTGTTGTAGGTGAAAAATTGAGAAGGTTGAATATTATATAGAATTATTTAGTTCCCATCTATACGTAACGATAAATCATTTTTAATAAAAAACGATTTTGAGCTTCAGTTAAAAATATTTCGAACAACTTAAATTTAAAATTGTGTCAATTTATAACTGCCACAATTTTTACGATTTTCATTAAAAATTAAATTTTAAACACTTTAATTACTACATTACGTTAAACGTTTTTTTTTTTTTTTTTTTTCGAAAATTACCAGAATATTTTGAAAATTGTACCTCATCTATAGAATGCTTATATAAGTAATTTGGGAAAATCTCAGATCTAAATTATATTTCTAATAGAATTAAATATAAAAAATATTTAAAAATAACAAAAACCGTTATTTATTGCCTTTATTTCTCTGTTTTGTCCTAACCATTAAGAAAAATAATACAAATAATCCATTCAATAGATTAGCTAGACAAAATTTACTACCAGAATTGACCAGATTTTTCGTAAAATAATTGTTTTATTAGAAAAAAATGCACACATCATAGTCAAATCAATACATTCCTCGCGTTGTTCAAAATTGAAAACTACATATACTACTTTTATATGCGTTATTATTATAATATCATCATAAAATCAAGGAGCTCGTGATACCGAAATATCGGCCATATTGCAGCTTTTCTCCGCTTCTCATTGGTCAGTACACGCTATGATACTACGATTAAGTATACGAATATCGCAGAACGAAAGCGAGTGATCCATTTAAGTGATTTAAGTGGGTAAATTCGTTATCTCAGAAAGTATTAACTAATTTAAAATTTTATTTTTTATTTATTTATTTATAATTTTTTTTTTTTAACAATTTAAGAAACAAGCATTTTTAAAATGTTAATTTTGAATATGGATTACCATTTAATAATCAAAAGTAATATTTTAAAGTTACTTGTTTCTTTGATTTCCAAAAAAAAAAATGTTTGAAAAAAGGTAACATTTTCCGAGATAATGAGTACAGCTGTTCACTGGATCATTCAATATATGCATGTATTAATAACATCGGGAAAAAAGCAATACGGCGCAGAATTAGAATGCTGATATACCTCTAAATTTTATGGTGTTATCGTTCTTTGATTTTTGGTTTTTGACGGTTAATCATTCGCTATTTAGTTAGATATACAGTGTGTAATCGTTTGTTGAAAATACTCTATAACTTAATAATTTTTAAATATATTTGAATTCTGTTTATTTTTGATGCTTAAAAAACTTTTTTATAATTTATTTGACTAATTAAACAATTTGTATGCCATGTCATTTCACGCATGCGCATATCAACTTTTTTTTTTTAAAAAAGGCAACCCCGCCTTTTTTTTGGTTAAATATTTTTACTCTTATTTTTTTATGAATATTAATGGTAAAACCAACTTCCTATGTTAAAAAATAGCCGAGTTATGGATATTTCAAAGATTGATATTATTTGTTTGATATTTTTGAATTACTTATCAATTTTATGGCTTAAAATTTTAGCACCTCATGCTATCTTCTAGTGATATTTTTAGTGCCTACTTTTCGGAAGGATCCTCTTCCTCTAACTAATTTGTTTAAGTTTGTTTCTTTTTAATTCCTTTTAATGGCGATTAAAAAAAAAAAACAATGTTAATTAATTTTATTTTTATTAGTTCAAAATTACATTCATTCATCATCTTATAAATTGTTCAAACTGCTCTCCATTATAATTTAAACATGCTTCTGTCCTCCGTAGAAATTCTTTATTTGTTGCAGATGAAATTTGTCCTTCAGTAAGTTGATTACACGCCACTATTATTTTTTGTTTCAAATCAATAAGATTAGTAGGTGAGTGGTGTAAGATCTGGGGATCGAGGTAGCCGCTTTATTATACCATTAGTTCCTAACCAACGATTTTCAAAATGTTCATTTAAATAATTCTTCACGACAATTGTGTCGTGAAGAATTGTGCCGGGGCTCCATCTTGTTGCAAAATCAAATTGTTTCTTGTTGCAAGAGGAATGTCGTCTAACATGATCGGTAGCTCATTCATTAGAAATTCTAAATACCGTCTTCCATTTAATGTACCGTCGTAGAAATAAGGTCCCAACAATTTACCTCCAATCAAACCACACCAAGCATTTGTTCCCCAAATACATTGATTATTTGTTTCAAAAACCCAATGGGTATTTGAGTGTCCCGATAACGATTATTTTGTTTATTTATTACTCCGTTGTTGGTGAATTTGGATTCATCTGTCCATAATATGTAATTTTAAATAATAGGATTGTCTTCTAATTGAGTTACCAACCAAGAAATAAACATAATCCTACGCTCAGCATCACATTGGCGTAAGTTTTGAACTAAATCAGGCCTGTATGAATGAAATGTATGCTTTTTTTAAATTTTATGAACTGCATTATGAGAAATACCTATTTCAAATCCGACATGACGCATACTAACTCTGGGATTTGCTCTTACGTACGCTAACACTTGAACCTCAATATCTTCCCCTAATGCATTAACTCGTCTAGGTTGCTGGTTAGCAATAACTGTTGTGTTAGAAAAAGAACCAGTATTTCTTAAATTCCTTTCTAACTTATGAAAATAACTATGTGACGGGTGTTGCCTATCTGAATTTAGAAAAACAAAAAATTGTTTTATTATTTTCACCAACACGAAAAATTATAATTAATAATAAATACATACTTGGGTAACGTTCAATATAAGCACGTGCAGCCTGACGTGAATTTTTTTCACATTCCCAGTAATCAAAAAGCATTTTAATTTTTTCTGAATTATTCATATTTTTTTTAAACTAAAAGCTATCTCAATTATGAAGTTATTTAATGTAACTTAACTATTGTTTAATAAACACGCGCGTATTCGTAAAATATGATTGTAAAACAAATATGTAAGAAACAATAGTAGTCGCACTGGCCTATTTGAAATGAAAACAGTAATTTGATCGTATCTAAATTACCTAATATTCAGATAAAAACAGTTGTGAAATGATGGAGAAAACCCGTACCCACCATTTAATGGTTATTTAAAATATCCAATAATAGAAATAAAATTGACATATAAAAATAAACAGAATTCAAATATATTTAAAATTTGTTAAATGATAGTGTTTCCAACAAACGATTACATACTGTATATAACATACATACAACAGTTCATTTTTAATATTATTTACGTTATCAAAATGAGATATTGATAATGAGAAATTTTTCGTTTTAAATTAATGAGTAATATGCGTAGGTATAATTATTACGGAATAATCATAATATTACGATCCACGTCATATTTGTGGGAGGGAGGGGACGGTAATATAAATGCATTTTAGTTAATAGAGAAAAAAAATATTTTATATTTATACACAATGGTATAATAATTAAATTCAATCATTAATACCAAGTAGGTTTAGCTACTCATTTTTTTTTATATACCCGCACGTATAAAAATTTTACTTGGTTGAAATTTTAATCATCAGCAGCATATTATAATATATTGTTTATTATTCATTTGCGGCGGCACCCCGTATCCTCCTTTCTGCGGTATCCGACTGTTTTTGACAGCTGTCATCCCTGCAGTCACCACATGAATTTAACTATGCATTATACCTTTGGCTTTGACAGCATTTTTCTTAGGTCTCTGCCAATTAACACCATTTACCCTCGTCATTAACACTGACACAATATTGTCAGACGATGGTGCCCGAATCAATCGCAAATTTAAATCCGTGCGAGTTTAGCCTAATAGAATCGATATACGAGATCATCATTTTATAAATAGCGTGATATATAAACAAAACACGAAATAATAAACAATCAACATAACCGTTACTCATAAACAATACTGTGTTTTAACTATACATGAATATTTATCTAGATATATGTCTTCACTATAGACATATTACAATTTTCAAAACATTTTAGTAATTTTTTGAGCTAATTTAGAGCTAAAGACATTTTAATTTTGACAGTTTTTTTAGCAATATTTATTCGGTAGGTACTCTACGGTGGATTAAACTGTTAGACCAAATACTCGTAGAAATACTAAAAAATTGAACAGAGGTTTCATTTGTTTTTCAATTTCATTGTTCATTAAGAAAAATGTTGAGTTAATGTAGTAGTTTTTTTTTTCATAAGAACATTAATATTAAATTTTGATGAAAATCGTAAATATGTATAACTGAAATCGTTTTTCGTTACTGTAATGTTATGTTCACACAACACGTTTATATAATTATTTATATTTATAAAATTGTAACTAAAAGATTTTGATATGACTAAGTACTTGATATCTAATAAAAAAAAAGTCGTTGATATAATACACACAAGGGACATTCGTTATTCGAGTGAGAAACACATAATTCTTCGTAGTCAAAACATGCTAATATGATTAGAAAAAAAAAATTCATGCGGCGGTCGGTGCGTCAGCGATTTCATCATCGTCGTAGCATAAACAAAATTATTACTTAAAAAAAAGAAGTCTCATTGTAATTTCATATGATTAACCATTCGTCGGCTCCGATGCGTAAGTCTCTTAAATCAAAAAATAACGGTATTTTTCTAGATGTCTCAAATGTCTCGTCCATACGAGAAATCTTCTGTGCCGCCAACTTCTTTCGAAAACCTCTCTCGAATAGCTAGCTATGACTTATAGCAGCTGATCATTCGATTAGCATACAAAAATATATTAAATTCCTTTTGTATTTTACCTCACCGACTTCTCACCTACAACAGAGATCCGTCCGTCATGCGAGTATGTCCGTTTTTTTTTTTTTTTTTGTTTTTTTCTATAATTCGAATGCTACTTCGCTAAAATAAAGACGAAAGTAAAATAATATTATGCAGTGGCACCGAACTCGGGGTATAAATCGGGCGACCACCCGAATAAATAATTCGGTGGCAGGTGGTGCTAGTGGTGAGAAATTTACACATAGTATATGAGTAATAATTAATTGTAGAAAATATGACTGTCTGCAAAACATTGCTATTTGTGATACTATGTGATATTATTTATAAACGATTATTATAATATGTTATATAATAATCTATAATAATATCGGGCTCGTTTATTGGCCAAATGTTGTTTAACTATTTTGGCGCCACCGACGTAACGTCTAACGATTGCTCAATATCATATTAATAACGTTTATGTAACTTAACAATTTGTTCTTTCTTGACGCAATTTTTGTAACAAACAAAAAAAAAAAACATCATCCGAGCAATATGTCTCGTGTCGTTCGATAACGGCACAACACTATTCGTAGTTATAATTTTAAAGTGTACAGTAATTGGATTCCCCTAAAAAAAATTACAAAAAAGATTGAAAATTCGACGAATAACGACGAATAATCATAATTTTGTTCTAAAATATCGTATTAATTTTTTTAACACGTATTAACGATGCCAATCGGATCCGAATACATGTTACGCGCGACGGGTGTCAAGCTTGCGGATAAGATTTTTTTGAAAAGAAAAAATAAATAAAAGATAAACAATAATTTCGTAACGAACGGTAGGTAATACTTGTGCGTCAGTCATGGTATTCGTTTTTATTCGCAATAGTTTTAAATAATAAAATATAGTTGTGGGCGTTTATTTTTTTTATCTCACCTTCGACATGCCGACAAACGGGAATTTCTCGAAACTCAAGTACTCGTTCTCGCCGGTACGTTTTTTCATTTGACCTTTGTAAATACGCGACGCCGTCAACGTAGTCAACGACATGCCGTCGCCCAGGAACATGATTATGTTTTTGGCGACACCTTTCTTGTTCACGTACTCGAGTTTCTCGGCCAACGTGCCCTTACCATTTTCGATCCAAAACTGTATGTCTGCACAATGATAGTAACATAATATTATAAGGCTAATAAGAAGGAAAAACGCATTTATTATATGTGCGCACGGTTATTATTTTATATCCATCTTTTTATATTCCAATATATTATATACAAGCGTATAAGTATATAATATAGTTCGCGAAATAACAATTCACTCGAGACTTAAGTCCGACTTTAACGAGTCCTACACACATATAGACTAGTGTATAGGTACTTCCTATATATAGGCCTACCAATACATACCCGGTGTTATATACAATGTCAGACGTGAGTGAATTTCTTTTGGATGATTCGGTTCCGTATGGATGGAAGTCGAGAGCAATATGTAATGTGCAGTTTGTGCCGGGAATATTTGAAATGAATAAAAAAAAACTCGAATTGATGTTGTGCAGTCGGTTTATAGGTGATGTATACTCTAGAGAAAATTGGTACAAACTGAGATAGTTTAAGTCGAGGGGAGGGGCCGGGGGCAGAGTGAAGTAACTATAAAGATATAGTATTATATATATTCGTCGTGTAGTACACATATGTATCGTAATAAAATAACATAAAAGTGAACGAAAAAATGGATAGCTCATTACGGGAGAAAAAAATTGCTCCAAATTCCAAAAATGTAAGCTACCTACATAAGTTTTTATGTATTTTTATTTTTACCAAAAAATATTATATTTTATTCCATTGATATTCGTTTGGTTTATTTTTTAATATATCTATTTTAAAAATGTGTACTTATATTATTGCGACTTAATGTGATAAACATCGCAAATTCATTTGCACATAAACTAAACCGATAACATTCTTCACGAAATAATTGTAAACTGTTTATTTTTATCGTATCGAAGGTTATTCCTAAGAATTAATATTGTTATTATTCCACGTAATACTTATAATCTATATTAGTCTTATCGGCCATTTCACGGTCTGGTTCGCTTGATTTCATTGATAAAATGCTAATCCAACTGATGTAAACAAGTCAATGGTTTTGAAAATTTGGCGACGGAATCGCGCCGCTGAAGTTTTGAATATAAATGGAGAAAATGGAGAAAATCCAAGATTGACCATAAACTAATTAAAAATAGAAGTCAATTTTTGATTTTCCTTAATTTAACTTATTTATTATTATTTCTTTAATTGGCTGTATAAAAAACTATAGTTAATTTTGAATTTTGATTTCATTATATTTTTAACAAATGTAATTTGAATATTATGTACCGCCGTATATATATTATGTGTGTTTTACTTAATATAACATTCGTGGGGTTCCGAGTTGAAATAAATAGGTATTTACAATTTAATATTTTCGGAATAATCCACGTGTTTCGCATTGTTAGTGATTACACTTATTTTCAACAAAAAAAAACGCTTACTATATATTTAATAATTTTCACTATTACAATAACAATTATTTTTCAAAATAAATTTAACGACTTAGTTAATAATAATATTAATAAATTAAATGTTGCCGTATTATTTAGATAATGTTTTTTCGATTAATTTAGCATAATATTATTCATCAACTTGCATATTATAGTTTATAACCTCGGACAAAAGTTATTTTATTAAAACAAAACTTAACAATTAAACAAGCACCTTATAATCACGAAATTGAAAAAAATAAATATATGAATGTATGTACGCTTGCACGTATTAATTTACACATTTTATAAATATAGTTTTCACCTGACCGTGGTTTGTTTTTTTTTTTTTTTTTTCATAAAATTGGAGCCCCCAGAATGAAATGTCGCTAATTTCATATTAATCGTATTACATACGGCCGTGAGTGTACGTATATTTGTGCGATCCAGTGTCGTGAAGAACGACACTATAATTTGTTTTCAAACAAATAATATCAACAAAATAAAGACAAAGAAGAATATTATTTATATAGGTATAAGTGGTATTTTAATTAAAAAATCGAATAATGGTTCGCAGGTATTGTCGTATAGTAATTACCTTTCTCCGTGTAAGCTTTTGTGTTGGCGGCATCCGAGAAGAAGAATGCGTTATGACCTGAAAATTGATAAAAAAAAATAAATAAAAATAACGAAATTAAAAAAAAATTCCAATATTAATCATTGTACGCGATAAATAGTAATAGTACCGCGACACGTGGATGTGTGATTATTATAAGTGATGGACACTATCCATAGTCAAAAAGACGGACATACTTCGCATGTGGACGGACCACTGTTTTAGATGAGAAATTGGGAAGATGGTAGAGGGGAAATTCAATAAATATCTATTAGCAACGATAAACCATTGCTAACGAAAAACGATTCTGAGGGGAGTTCAGTTGATAGTGTTGCTTTTTCAACAATTTATATATTATATCGTATTATGGTAAAATAACATACATTAGCATTACATATTTTTTTTAAATAATATTTGTTTAACATTGTATCCAGTTTCTCGTTTTTCCGATTTTTCGCATTTATTGGAGAAAATCAAAAAATTACCTCCCTGAAATAGAAAAATTACTATCATCGTAATTCAGAAAAAAAATAGTCCACAGAAAAAGAATAAAACATTTTTGTGAAACCATAACCAAGCTTTTTCGCTCCACTAGAATCTAAAACGAATGACAGACGGATAGCCAATACTGTTCGACGATTACGTATAGACAATAATATCCAAACCTTTTGATAGTATGTATGTTGGTAGTTTAAACTATTTCATACTATAAACTATTCGGTAGTGTCCATCATTAGTAGGTATATTATATATTATTAATCCAGGCCCGCGCGTTGTTATAGTTGTTACTATTGTAATATAGTCGCGTAATAATTCACTGCTACGACAATTAAATAACGCGTAAACTATTATCGTGCAAACAGAGTGAACTGTCGTAAAACTACTATCAGACTATCACGGATTGCGTTATATCGATTTAAAGCTGCTGTCTTTTAATCGATAATAATTATTACGATGTTGACACGTTTATTATAGTTTACTATCTTTCTGTTTCATATATATCGCGCTCTCACAGACTTTCATAGAAATACACTCTGTGCATTCCACAATCATCACTTGGGGACGCACTTGTCTTTTGTGATCAAAGTTATAACTGGCACGGATGGGAATCTTACAGGAATCCTGACCTCCTCAGTTTTCCTCCGAATTTCGTTCGATAATAGTAACAACAGTGATAAGTAATATTAATATTAACTAAGTGTTCATTTTTTGAAGAAAAAAGTGACGAGTGTACTGTACCCGTACTACTTTTGACTTATGGTTATTAAAACAAAATTGAACAACATAAACCGAAAAAAAAAATAGAAATAGCTCCTCAGAAACAGTCCCCAGCTCTTGATAGTTAATTATTGTGTATTATCGCAACAAAAACTATCACGTTATAGTCACTAACATACTGCGGACCAGGGCTTATGAACATCTATTCTGTCCCAAAATAGAGTGCTATAAAGTCAATTGTGTACAGTTTTCAACAGGTACAAGCAAATTTAATTTTGAAAATACACTTGCACATAAAATAATACACTAATATTATACTACATACACTGATTTTGAAAATATATAGAATTATGCAATTTAGATCAAAAACCTAGGGGAACAATTTAAATTAGGCGAGATTTAAAAAAAAAAAAAAGTGCCAAAAAGACTTAAAAGCCCTTTTTCTCTGGAACCAAAGATATAATAATATTATAATATAAGATACGTGTTTATGCGTAAGTATAAGATAAAAAAAAAACCACGAGTGACGGAATTTTCGTGGTCGGTTAAAGTTCGCGGGCCACCGGCAGTTTATTATCATCTAAACTTTTTTTTCACTTTTTCATTCACTTTTCTTTGTGCGCGTTTAGTTCCCTTTTTTTTCTATAATATATATATAGGTATATAAGACGGCGGCGTGCCGGTGCGCGATTTTACCGAAAAACCCGGTACGATTTATTGCGTGACATTTAGACCGCGGTTTTTTTTTCACGTTCTTTTTGCCACCTCCCGCTTCTCCACTTGCCCGCCACCTCTCATGTACGCCACCCCTATCGTCTCGTTTTCTTTCACTTAATCTGTTGAAATTACTTTGTTCTCTCGGCGAGCAAAGTCGTTCGTTTCAATTTGGAAAATTTTCTCCAAATGAGCCGCGCGTTAAAACCGCGTAGCGGGTGGCGAAACAATATTTACACGCCGCCGCCGCGCCACGGCGACGGTCCACTCGCGCAGCCGAGTACTGGCGCGTAACCGCAAAAATTGACCGCCGTGTAATATTGAACCTCCCCGGTAAAATTCGACCAGACGGAGAGTGGTAGTAAAATAACACGGGGTCGATAATCACTGGCGTGCCGGTCATACGAGCCTGACCAATCGTCTTTAACAAACCAGGTTTGAGGATCCGGATTTCGAAACTCGACGATTTTCGATTATTTTATTATTGTCATAGTAAAATCGCATTAATGGCCGACAATTGTTTGAAAAAAATATAACTTTACGCTATAATTTCAAGGATGTCTATAATTATAGTTCATCCCTCCGAAACCATAAAGCATATTTTATATTGTAAGATTTTTGTTGTGAACTGGTTTTTAAAATTAATTATCATTATCATCAATGTATATTATGAAAAACCGTAAAGCTCACGTTACCTATATGCCTAATTATTTCGATATCAATTGAACAACAATAATTTAATTCAAATTTAAATTAAAATATAGTACGGATAACGGTTTTTGAATATATCATAACTATTAGCTAAATGGGAAACAATAGCTGTTTTATTGAAAATAGACAATTAATTATAATTTTCTACTATTATCGATAATTTATTACTACGGTATAGTAAGCTGATTATACTGCAGAATTCAAACGAACAGGTTTGTAGTCAAGTAACTTAATACAATAACATTCAAATACTTTCTTAGTATTCGGACACTTATTTCGTACGAAAATAATTGGTTATTGCATATTAAACCATTTTCAAATGTATTTTTTTATTTGAACTAGCTATCCCGCCTGACGTTGCCCGTGTTAATTTCTATTTGTTGTTTTACCCTTATTATTTTTAGGTTTCAACCGTGTCATTATTAAATGAAAAAAAAATAGGTGGAAAGTGGATAGTCCACCTTCGGTGAACTAAAAGTGTTCGGTTGTAAAAGTTTTTTCGAGGTTTTCATAACAAAAATATCCAAACACCGATTTTTTTTGATTTTTTGAGGAAAAGGAGATGAATTACAAAAGAAGTGAAGCCTAACCTAACAAATCGGGGTATGACTACGCTCGAAAGTGGGAAAGCACGTGAACCGTATGATTGTCTTCGCTCGCAGACGACACAGCGTTCTTTTTATTCGTTTTTGCCGACGATTTATGTTAACATAAAATTGATAACTCAATTGTTAATCTATATATTATACAATAATGAATAGATATTTTTTTAGGGAAGTCATAACTCAAATACCATACAAATTACTAAATTTTCCTGTAGATTTTCCAAAAATTTTCTTTTATAAGAACCTTTATTTTTATTCACCATTAATTTGTTGTTACGAAAACATGTGACAGCAGAACTGATCGCCAATTATCAAATTATTTTTGTTAGTCTACGAGTAATCTTGGTGATAAAAATGAAATTTTCAAAAAAAATTACTGACGTTTTCATTAAAAAAATACCCTCCAAAATTTACAAATTTTCCAACAAATGTCTTTCATAAAAATCTTGTCCTAACAATTAGGAACACAAAATACAAAAAAATCAGCCAAACCAGTCCATCCGTTTTCAATTTATGTTGCCACCAACAATATACAATATACTCGTATTATATTCATTATATATATTTTATACATAAACTGAATACTAAAAGAATTTATATTCGTACCCAAATAAATATTTTATATATCTGTATTAGTTTATTTAAAAAAATGACACGTGTAGGTACAACAGCATTTTTATACGGCAATCATGTTATTTTTGGATTCTGAGCGAAGCGAGGAATGTATTAGTTTTACAATTAAATTGATTTTATTTTATTTTTTTATCTGCGAACTTTTCTACCACCAATTTTGCTTCGATTTCCATGTGTAGGACGTTTTATCTGAAACGAAATTTGACTAGGAGGGGATACTTAGGAGTGGACATTTTTTTTTTATTTTCCCAGCTATTTTCATAATAAAAGAGAAAAAACACGGGAATATTTACGAAACGTATTATTTTCAAATCGTAAATATTACGGTCTTTCACAAAATGTACAACCGAACTCCGCTTAAAATCGTTTTAGATTAATCAATTATCGTTGATGTTCATTAAATACCCTTCTATATCCTATCTTCCCATCTTCTCATTTACAATAGTGGCCCACCCATCGTGCAAAGTATGTCCGTATTCTTTTTATATTTAGTCATTATTCTTTTAATAATGCACCAAAGCGCATTAAAACATAATATATTAAGTACACTTGCTAATATCTATACCTGTACTTTATGAATCATGGCCGGACCTTGAATTTCAATTATATTCCTTTAGATTTTATACAAAACAGGAAAACATTTAATTGTCCTCGATATTGAGTTACTACACATGCATGAAAACGCGGAGAAAAACAATTAATTGCCACACGGATAAACTGTTATTTTTTTACTATTTATTGATACCTATACGATATTGTAACAGTTATTGGCAATAACGAATTGATTGCACATTATTAATGTTTCTGTCTTTTTGACTGCTGTATAAGAAAAACGTGTTCGCGTAAAACAAACGATGGGGTATTTAAAATCGGTTTTCTAGATGTCAAGCACCGGATTTTTAAATGTATAGATAATATTCTCCGTCGTATTGACAATGATATCTGAATATTCGACTCGTTATCGAAGGTCTAAAAAAAACTATATTTCACATTTTTTTTTGTTTTTAACAAATTTGTTAATTATTAGTATTTCGAGTAACGAAGATGGTCTTTGAAATTTTGCCAACAAATTTCTTAAAAAATAGGCGTTTTATGTCGAAAGCCGATTTTAACGGTTGCTTCGATTNATATGTGTGTATATAATATAAGGTGTGCCGTTAAAAAAGTAGTCAACAAGATTCATCTATTAAAACTAAGGGTTATTATAGTTTTGAAAAAAAAAAAAAAATGTTATAATTAACACTTTTTATTTAAACGATATATACACCTAGTTGACTATCTCTGAAATGATATTTTTGTATTCTCCTAATCCAACTATATAGTGAAATTGTATAAGGATTGAAAATATAAATATAAATATTTAAGATAAGTAATTGTATATAGTAATTTTTTTTGTCCTTAACATACATAAATATTATGATAAAAACGCAAAAAAACAAAATACCCGTGAAAACCAATTAATGGTTTTAATAAAAATATTTTAATCGAATATTCTTGTATAACTCGCTCTTGTATATCAAAAATCAAAAACCTTAACTTACAGACAAAAAATACTTTACCCACTACTATTATAGACAATAAACCTAATATCTCTCGATACGACTTAATAATATTGATACAATTTTTCTCTGAAGGAGATATTATAATACTGAATATAGGTAACAATTTTAGATTCTGAGTGGAACAAGGAATGTATTGGTTTTACAATGATATTTATTTTTATTTTTTTAAATGTTCTCTTGGTAGTACTTTAGAATTGTCATTTTTTGAAATTCTCATTAACATTCGCTATTATGAGGAAAATCTGGTTCTTTAGGTTATATAAGATTGGAAGATTAAAAATAAAGTTGTCATTGACAAACGTTTTTATTTATTTTTGTTTTTATTATTTTAAATCTTTTTTAAACAATCATTTTTGTCATTGAAACGCATATTGTAATCATTTTACTATAATATGACATACCTATGTATTGTTGACAAAGAAATACTATCAACTGAACTCCGCTCAGAATCGGTTTCTCGTTTACAATGTTTTATCTGTTGCTTACAGATATACACAAAATTAACGTTTGTAACCTACCTTTCCACCTACTAAAGTTATTACACTTACGTGCGAAGCATGTCTATCTTTTTTTTTCTATTATTATGCTTCAAATGCTCGCTATATACTGAATATAAATTTAATAATGGGTTGTCGAGAATTTTTTTGTAACAAATAATAATTATTAATTATTAAAAACGCGTTTGAATCAATTTTTAACGTGTATTCATCATGTTCCAGACCAGTGACTATATGTGTGTGCATTAATTAACCAATTACAATAAATTCGTACACAATTTTGATATCACGAAATTATTAAATATTATCTGTCTTTACGTATATTTAACCGTACTGTTTTTTTTGTTTTATCCTTTTTACGGTTTTTTTTTTTTTTTTTTTTTTTTTTTTTTTCTTGAATTTGTTAATCAATAATATTACAATATTGTTACGACGCCGATGCTCGCGCATTTTATAACAGTGATATTAATATACACCGGCTGCTACTGCGGTAATTTTCACATTTTCAAATACCTCTGTCTGCACAGGTATATTATATACCGCATCTATTTAATTTATTTATTTACATAATATATCTGGTGCTCGGGTCGATAAAGGAAATTTAGAAAATTAAGAACAAAACAGATTTTTGGACCTTTTTGATATTGCAATAGTAATTTGTCTAACAAAATTTGTCTTATCGAATCTCACAGTAATGATTATTTATCTATGCCCGTTTACCACTATAGAAAAAGCATTTTAAATTATTAATTAAACCGAATTAATTTTATCGACAATAAAACAAAAACTTGAAAATGTTTTGAAAATATTAAACGCATCTATAAAAGACTAATATACGTATTCTGTAAAATATTTCTACGATCGTTTTAAACTTAATAACAATAATATTAAAAAAAAAAAAAACCAATAATAATAAAATCGATCGCCATTTTAGTCATAATAAATTTTCTCGTTTTATCTCGATTACTAATAAAACTATAAGGAAAATCAACAATTTCCCAAATCCTAAACTAGTTACAGTTTTCAAAAACCATGTACTGCAATAATACTAATATCGCTGCACTCAGAATCTAAAAGGTAGTTCTAGTGACCCAACCCGATCGTTCATGACCAATTCGCATTGATAACCTGGACCAGTGTAGGTTTCATTTAACGAAAATAAAGGCGTACATTATATTAGTTTATCGTCATACTATCGGTGTACCTGAAATAAGTATTTATGTTATCGAAAAAATGTACGGATTTTGATTTTCATAACCTATAACGCTATACATCTTAGTATACAAATAAAACAATTTATACAATCGATTAAAAACACAAAATAAAAAAAAAACTATAATATACAGTTACAAAGTATTTTCTAATTAGTTTTAATCAAGACATTTTTTAATGTATTTCGGTTTTAATTTCGTAAAAATGTTTATTTACGTGCGTTGGATAGTCTAATTATTATGTGTTTGACATAGGATATAAGACAATAGTTTGATACGATAAAAATAAAATAAATATGAAATAGCAAGTATTAATTTTGTTGGTACAATTTTAAACCGTCATATAACTATGTATATATATATGATTTCCCTCGGGTAGTTATTTACGGACGTATTTTTTATATTTTTTCCCCGTAGACGAACGATATTCAAAGGACATAATAATTTCATTATATTTCTACCGTTTTATATATACGAAGTTCCGAAAAGTTGGCCGACACTATATATACACGGAATACGTGATACACACCAAGTCGGCTCAAGAACAGAGTGGATAATACGATTTATACTTTATAGTAGATGAGGTGCCTTTACCTTTGTAACGATCAAGTTGATTGCATTATACGTGAAAAAAAAAATATGAAAAAAACCTAATGTGTTTGTTTTTGGTGTATCATAAAAAATGTTTTTTTTTTTTTTTTTTTTTTAAGGTAATATTCGCCTTAAATCGTAAAAACAAAATATCAGAATACAGTTGTACGTATATTCGCGTGTGTATCGTTAAATATAATGAATAATAAATATGGCTTCTAGTTTTTCAAATAAATAGAATTAACAGGACATTTTTTTGTATAAGTTTTGTTGTATTTGTGGATCATCTTGGCAAATGCAAGTGAAAAAAATGGTTTTTTAATAGTAGCAGTGTATCGTTGTGTACAGATATAAAATAAAATTATTCCATCCTCCCTTTCAACTTTCCACCTAAATCAATAAAATATCCACTAACAATGTCAGCCTTTTTTTTTTTTTTTAATATTTTGAATTTTATTTCAACAAAGAATATTATTGTTATATTCTTTATATTAACACGTCCGAGTTTCTCATACGATATTTTGAAAATGTAGTTAGACGGTATAGGTATAGGTACTTGAAACTTCAGTAGGCACTCGTCATACGTGAGTGGTGTAAAAGTTTGCAGAAGTAACTTCGTGTAACAAAGTTTTTATATATATACGGTATAGTGTATATACATATATAGTTACTAATTCGATGTAATTGTATTAGGTGATTAAAATAATAATAATCATTATACGATACGCAATGAGGCAATTGGAAAAGTATACTCGGGAATACTGGCTCGAGTTTTATTATATATGTAGCAAAGAATAATATAAAATAAATGTAAACAATAAAATAAAATTCTTATGCAAGAAAAAAATTTGTTCGAATTTTCTTACATATTTTAGATTCTAAACGCAGCGAGGAATGTATTGCTTTTTACTATGATGCGATTTTCCTTGTAGTATAGTTTCGTTAATTGAGAAAAACGTGAGGGAAACAACCGAGCAAATTTATATCAAGATCGCGGTTTCCTTATTTTCTAATTTATTATTATTACTATTCGATTTGAAACAATCCTAAAAAACTGCAATTTGCGCAGATTAATAATATTAGCTGTTTGTAGACGATTGAAATTATCGAATTTTTAAGTTTATATTTAGTTTTTATGTAGATCAGATTGTTTCGCCCGAACAGAAATGTTAAAAAATTGTACACGAAAGTTATTATTAGAGATCGGATTTGAATGCAAATTGCATTTTTTTTCTGAATATCAGAAAACATTGCTTTACAAGCACAAAGTTCATTTCATACATCAAGGAATTAAGAAGTGTAACTTTTATTTTACATTTTTTTTGCATATTTTTGCATTTTTAAGACTTTATTACATTTTTAGAGCATTTTTTGATATTTTTAGGGCATTTATGTTTTTAAGTCATTTTCGTTTAGGAATGAATAAAATTCGATACAAATGTATATTAACATTCATTCTAAAAAAATAAAAATAAATATTTATTATGTTTTTACCGATCGGATAAACCCTAACTCCAGACGAAATTATTGTTGACACACGTATATACATATATACAAGTAAAGATAAGATAATCTATTTATCTAAATTGTAATTTTGTATTGCACTGTTGAGTTAAGTCATTATTTCATCAAAATTAATGTTTTATTGGGCATTTTTTTAAGGCATTAAGTCGTATTTTTTTAGGGCAATTTTCTTATTTTTTATGGCATTAAAGTCCGTTCCCTAGTTATTATATAAATCAATTAAAATTCAAAAATGTATAAACAAAAATCGTATAACAATTACGACAGTTCAAATCTACATAACGGAAATTGTCTCAGAATAATATTATAATTATGATTGTTTTTTTTTCTTTCATATATATATATTTAGTTTATTTTTTCAAGTTTTAAACAATAATGTATTATCAATTGACTTACCGTTAAAAATTACGGCAAAACACAAATAGTACGCAAACGTGACCATGGTCGATCCGAACGATCCCGATGACACGCTCATGACGGAGCAGTTTGCAGTTCTGTTGGCCAGTGAATACTAAACACGTTCATACTTCACAGGCTACAGTATTATTTTGATGCGAGAACTAATAACAGGTTTCTTATCTGTGAAATACGTCTAGAACCCGGCGTTTTTTGCCATATCCATAATAAAAAGTAACTGTTATTTCGACAACTCGACAAAAATACTAATTAGAAACTAAAAGACGAACATACTTCGCAAGATGGGTGGGTCACTGTTGTAGATAAAAATTTGTGAAGGTAGGATATAGAGGGGAATTTAATTCATATAAATTTATATCTATAATCTACAGATATAAATTGTTTAATAAATGATAAACCTTTGCTAACAAAAAACGAATCGGAGCGAAATTTAATTTATACATGTACGTACATTTTCCCGGTTTTCCCCAATTGTTGGGAAAACTCCTGGGAAAATTAAAAAATTACCTTAAAAAACTTGCCCAATGAGATTTACTTTCAGATAAAATGCTGTCATTGTGAATCGGAGAAAAATTGCTGGTAGAAAAGTTGTTCATAGATAAAGCAAAAAAATAATAGAAAAATAAATCATATTCGTACTTGATACGTTCAAAATTTAAATTTTTTTTAAATCTTTAAATAGAATATATGTTTAACTAATTAAAATGTTAATATAACTAATTAATAAGATGGACCGTAAATTTAGTAAAATTTTAAGAAATTAAGACCATTACTATAATCATTATAATAGCATGTTAAAAGATTAATATTAGGGTTTTCTCAATTTTTTCTACTTATAAATTATAAATATAACTTTCACAAAATTAATTTTCTTAGATAATTTGAATTCGTATTATACGACTTAATTTTTAATCTGATATGAACATAAACAATTTTTAATTAAACCTATTTGGAATTTTGTAAATTAATTAAAACGTTTAAACGAAACATTTTATAATAATATCGAAACCCGCGAGCTAAAAGTTTTAAACAAAGTTTACCCTACAAATATTATACATAGTGAAACAGTCCGGTTAAAACATAAATTAAAATCAAAAATATACTTATTGTATATGTATCTATACTTTGTACGATAAGGTCAAAATGAATTCGAATATATTATTGTGTGTAAAAAGAAAATCCAGACACATGTCACATCACCATGGGTAGGACACTGTTGAAAGTGAAAAGTTATGAAAGACATTTGTTTTATGTACTTAAACCGAAAAAAAGCATTCAGTCATAGAAATCAAAACGCAACTCGATAAAATCTGGTAAATAATACTCCAAGTATTATAATGCTATACTCGAATATAGATAGCCGAGTTTCCCCCTACAGTAATGTAGCCCGGATATCAACAGAAATTAAACAAATTTTGCGGTTATTTGTCGGTTCTGAGATTTGTTTAGAAAATCCTTTGGGAATTTATAGGAAATGTTTTGAGTGAACCGCGTCCTTTAAATGTACGACGTGAAAAAATCGGAGCATTTTTTACAAATCGAAAAAGTATAGGAATTAACCACATCTTATTACTAAGATCTACACTTCTTCACTGGTTCGGTATCTACATTTTGTTTTGATGACCTCGTCCGTATTAGTTTTATTGATTCCTTTCGAAATTATTAGAACACCTTCACTGTTAAATAACCTATAAAAAAAAAAAAATAAACATACTAAAAATTAATAACCCGTTATAGATGTTACAATTGTGGCGGTTAACATTACATCAATTAATATCATCACTAAAAAAAAATATGTATGCCGTATCAGTTTAAAAAATTATTATGCGCGGACGAATGTAATACGATTCTGCGTCTTCGCTTGATAAATAATAATACAAAATGTATAATACTGAGCCCAAGATCTAACCTATAAAACAAATGTTGACGCTTCTATGTGACACTCGACGTGTTTAAATAACAATACATACGAATGTACATTTACGCTATTTCTTTGCAATCCCTTTTTTTTTTTTTTTTTATGTATGCATATAATATGTTTATAATATATGTTAGGTTAGATAAAATATATTTTGTTCGTATTCCCTTCCCATCCCCCCCTGACTGTTTATTAAAAAAGTTTAATTGTAATAATTTAACCGGAGTTTTATTAAAAAGAAAATAATGTACATTCAGCGCGTCAAAAGCTATAATTTATTTATATAATTGTAATTAAATACGGTTCGAATACTGCAATTGCAGTTTAAAATTAATTTTAGTATTAACACGAATTTAAATTAAAATTTCCAAAAATTACATTCGTATATTTTAATGTTACACAGTATCAATAATGATGAATAAAAACTTACCTGTTCGTAGTCGATATCGCTAATTAGTTGCGAATCAATGATAATAATTTAAAACTAATTGGACAAGTCCGGGCGCCGACTCCATGGACATGATATTTCGTGTTGAATATTAAACGAAGGTTTTATAATATTGTACTTAGGTGGGTACCTAAATTTAAATACATATTAGTAAAACAAAATCAATATTGTGATTCCGGATTTCGTCCGTGGTAGTGCAGGAGCGAAAGTTACTGAGGTCAGTTATTAAGTCTTACTTAGCGATGGGATTTATCGTACGCCGCTACGCGGGAAGCCTCGTGACGACCAAGAACCGCGGGGATCGTCTAGAACCGGGGAGGGCTAATGCAGGGCTTACTCGAGGATTTTCGCCGGATGTTCAACAGTTAATAATTTACCCACAGCGACCTGATAAATTGGTAAATGTGACTCGATCGAAACACGTCTGCTACAGCTGTATATAGTGGTTATCCTGTGCCGCAGATAAACAAACACGTTTTTAAACATATAGGTAAGTACATACCGCGGATACCGTAAATAATTTACGATTTTAATCGAATCAACCGCGTTTGCTGCTGTAGTATACCACAAAGAAAACGGGGATTACCAAACGCAATAATAATTATTGTTTGTTCGCTCCCTGTTCAAATAATTAACCTTTGAACCTTGGCTTTTATACCTGCGTACATAGATGTATCTTCCTTTTTGGACCGATAATTTTAAAAAATCAATGACCCCCGGGAACCCCCGGTGTATTTACTATTTATACTGTACCTATATAATACAACGACATATCGAATAGTATATGAAAATGTTGAGAAAAAAACAAATCCAATGATTATCTTTATAAAATACATAAAACACGAGTTTTCATCGTTTTTAAAAATAAATATTGTTTTACTAAAAAACCATCGCAAATTTTAAGACTTATTAAAACAAATTTTTGCATTAATATGCAAGTATGCAAGTACATACAAGGTGTTCTACAGTGTTATCTGAATTCGAATAACTCTGTTAATGTTAGTTTTAAAATATTGAAGTGAAAACAATTAATTTCCAAAAAAATAACACGTCACGCGATAAGAAATCATAATTAATTATTGTTTTCACGCCTATATCTTATTCATTAAAACCACTATAGGTAACTAAGAAAATATTAATTGGATATGAATGCATTATACATTCATATCCATATATTCATTAAATGTATAGATAATAGGCGTGAAAATAATTAATATTCTATAGAAGATAAGGATTTTCCGTGCTGATTGTGATTCTTTATCATGTATCGTGTTATTCTAACTAATGTAAACTAATGTAAACATGTATAGTACAAGAGGTGTTTTCTTATTCTCGATGTGAACTAAAATTTCTAAAATAATACAATACCAGAGGCCAGAGTGTACCTAGAACGTGTAACATGCCCGAAGCATAATTTAATAAAATAATATAGTATTTATACCCGTGATAATGATATAGCGCAATGTTCGTCTATAATACATACTGATATAGATGTGGATGTTCGGTAGGAGTAGTTCGGTTTGCAAAATAATTACAATTTTCTAAACTACCCCCCACCCCTTTGATTGAGCTCCAGATACGCCACTGCGTGAAGGTGCTCGCGTTCGATTATCGTGGTTCGTCTGGCCATAGGTATTTAGAGGTTAATCGTAAGAGGACCGCTCGCTAACTAGCGCGTTAACTGGCCGCGTACGAATACCGATTTGTTTAATACAAAACAATAATCTTGTCGTACCAATAATCTGTTTCGCACGTATCCCGTAAGAACGGTTTGAAATATTTTTCGTGGTAGGTGGTAAGAGAATATATTGGATTACGCGCGTAAAAATTAATTATTTAATTAATTAATCAATTTAATAATTAAATTAAATTTCCTAATCAAAGTAAATAGGATATTCGATATATTAGTAACTCTTGAAAATTTTTCATATGTTCCTGGTATAAACTAAATAATTGTTCTCTAGATTTCCGTTGAAACAATTTAAACGTAGATGTTCGTGAAGACCAGTGTTTCCCAGACTGGGGAACGTGAATACATTGCTGGGGAAGCGCAAGCAATTATCGCGAAGTAGAGTTTGTATTTATTAAATTATTTTTATTTTATAATGGAGGGAAAAATGAAAAATGAATTTTAAGTTAGTTATCACGAGTATCAATAAAGATAAATAAGCAAGGCCGTATTTAGGAGGAACGACAGGGGACAGTTGTCTGGGCAGCTTTAATTTTTTTAAAGATTTGTTCGATAATATAGAAATCTCTTTGTTTATGGCCTTTTTTCCACTCGTCAAGAGATTTTTGAAAATCTACAAAGGGGGTATAGAATAAAAGAGGTTGGGAGAACCACTGGTGTAGATACTTGCAAAAAAATGTTGAACCTAATTAAATATTTCTTTATGCACCTGATTAATTTATTTTAATTTTATATAATATATGTACGTATGTTATCTTTAAATTACAATTAAATCTATATAATTAGTAATCAAATTTAATAACAACATTATAATTCAATTTACTCTAGCCCAAATGTTCTTATTTTCCACATTTCAAACATTTACCTCCTCTGGATAGCGAACACCTCTGAATACCGGACAAAATTTCCGTGTCCGAAAATGTCCGGTACTAAGTGGTTTTACTGTATGAAAAAAAACGGCATATTTAGATAAATAAGTTTAGTAAAAATATGTACCCAATC